GGGAGAAAAAGGAATTGTGCAGTCTTGAAAAGGACTGGAGGAGAGTTAATAGAATGTCACTTCAAGGGTTGGGACTATCCGGGGGTAAACCACATGGATGTTGGCATGTAATTCAGTCCACTGATAGCTTATTGATTCTGTCTTCCTAGAAGACAAATACAAAGTGGGCCACATTGGATCTTTTAGGAGATGAATGAGTGGGTTCACTTCTGTCTCCTTTGCTAAATGTTTTACACTGAGACCAGGCTACCTCTTTGGAGTTGGTTTTATCATGGGAAGGCAAGATATCTTGTAAGGGTTCATACAAGAGAGAACCAATTTTTAAAAGAATGCAATCTATAGAGGAGATTAAATATAAAAACCTGGCTGGATCATCCATACAAATTTTGGCTTTATTTTTCCCTATACAAAGTGCCTCAGTCAATCAAATGGGCAAGGACATTGAATCGGATATTTCCATTGCCGCATGATAGGCTCATTGTTTAAAATCTCTGAGTAGTTGTTGGGGAGAAAAGGTAATAAAGGAAAAAGAGATTGCATTAGCCAGTTCAGGGGAATATATCCCTATTGGGTTTGAAAAAAAAAAAAAAGCCTGGTAAAATTATTCTGACTCTTTGTCACCTGAGTTGAAAATACAGAATAGTTCCCAGGAAAGATCAAGAACCTAGGATTACAGTTTGTAATAGTTTGAAGACACGTTTGCAATGTGAGGCAGTCAGGGATGAAAGACTGGTGTGCAGTAGAGCATCTGCTTTCATGTTGTAGCCAGGATATTTGTTGGGGGGGGCAGAACCTCAGATTTGTATTGATTTATGGGAGGGCAGCTGCCTTGCTGCCTCGCCTCCCGGCTACCACCATGTCTGCTTTACCAGATAGGCCTGGGAATGTCCCCAGTCTGAAACCCTCTGCCAGTCAGTGTAGACAATACTGAACTAGATGGCTCTGATTTGATCTAAGGTAGCTTCCTGTATTCCTAGCTGAGAGAGCTACGTTTGACAGCTGGGCAGGACAATCCACCTGTCAATCGATGGCATCAGATGATTGACAGGTTATACACCAGTCACAGGTTATACGAGCCACCGTTTCTTCTTTAGTTGTACAAATAATACAGATATACCAAGATAGGCTGTTCCCAGGATGTTCAATGTATGGAACACATTTTACTGCATTGTAATCTATACAAAAGGGACGCGGGTGGCGTTGTGGGTAAAAGCCTCAGCGCCTAGGGCTTGCCAATCGAAAGGTCGGCGGTTCGAATCCCCGCAGCGGGGTGCGCTCCCGTTGTTCAGTCCCAGCGCCTGCCAACCTAGCAGTTCGAAAGCACCCCCGGGTGCAAGTAGATCAGTGTTTCCCAACCTTTTTTGGGCAAAGGCACACTTGTTTGATGAAAAAAATCTTGAGGCACACCACCATTACAGCCCCATGACGTCAGCGCGCAGCGTCACGCCGGGAGGGAAGGGCGCCGGGGCGCTGCTGCTGCCGCCGCCGCTCCCGGCAGGCATGGGCCCAGCTGAGGCGGCGGCGGCTGTTGTGGTGGTGGCGGCGATAGCGGGCGGAGGAGGGGGCGGCGGCGGGGCCGAGGTGGCTGGTGGCGGCGGGGGAGGCGGCGGCGGGTGGAGCAGGAGGGTGGCCGAGGCCGGTGAGGGAGTAGGGTTGCCCGGGGCTTGAGGAGCCGTCGCCGGGAGTTGCTGCTGCTGTTGTTGCTGCTGCTGCCCGGACATGCCGGCCTCCTCCTCGTCCGCTGTCTCGCGCTCCTCCCTTTTGCGCGCGCTGCCCCACCGCCGCCCCATTGGCCGGGTCCTGTCAGCTGATCCTGTGTTATTTCCTGTGTGTGTGTGTGAGGGGAGAATGGAGAGAGAAACCTCGGCACCACCACTGCGGAGCCGCCCCCGGCTCGACGCGGATCCTCGCCGCCGCCGCCCCGCCTCGCCCCGCCTCGCCCGCCTCCCTCCCACGGCACACCAGGCAACACCTCGTGGCACACTAGTGTGCCGCGGAACACCGGTTGGGAAACACTGAAGTAGATAAATAGGGACCGCTTTCTAGTGGGAAGGTAAACGGCGTTTCCGTGTGTGGCTCTGGCTCGCCAGAGCAGCGATGTCATGCTGGCCACGTGACCCGGAAGTGTCTCCGGACAGTGCTGGCCCCCGGCCTCCTGAGTGAGATGGGCGCACAACCCCAGAGTCTGGCAAGACTGGCCCGTATGGGCAGGGGTACCTTTACCTTTACCTTTAATCAATCCAATACTAACGGGACAACCTGCAATTGCTGACTTATTTCATGTCAAGGATAAGTTTGATACTATTACACTAGTTGTAGCAAAATTCCTCTCAGAGGCAGTAAAAATCTGAAACTAGTATGTACAGGTTCCTCTGTTGGCTAGCGAGGCTGATTTTACAGCTTAATAACTGTTGATATTTTTTATTGCCTGATTATCGTCTTCCAAAGCAGCTACTCTATTCCCAACTTAAGAATGGAAAGTGAAATACTAGTGGACAACAAAAGAGGTTTAAGATGCTCTCAAGGAAAATATGGTATAAGATAACTGGAAAACACTGGCGTGCGAGCGCTCCAGTTGGAGAACAGTCTTTACCAAATATGTCATGGACTTGAAGAGGCACAAACTCAGGGCGAAAAGGAGAAATGAGCTATAAGTAAGGAACGTTTGGCAAACCATGATCAACTCCTGCCCAGAAACCTATGTCCCAACTGTGGAAGGATCCAGAATTGGCCTCCACTGTCACTTATGGACTCACTGTTAAGAACATGCTCATGGAAGACAATCTTACTTGGCTACAAGTGATCACCAAAGAAGAAGGTATACCATCTGGGAGATGATATATAATGAAATGAAAAAGGTATTTAAATATACCTTTCTGAAGAAACCAGAGGCCTTTCTCCTGGGCATGGTCGGCCAATTGGTGCCAAAGAAGGATAGAACTTTATGTATGCCACAACAGCAGCAAGAATACTTATCGCAAAGCATTGGAAGATACAAGATCTACCCGGCCCTGGAAGAATGGCAGATGAAGGTGATGGACTACATGGAATTGGCGGAAATGACCGGCAGAATCCGAGACCAGGGAGAAGAGTCGGTGGAAGAAGATTGGAAGAAATTTAAAGACTATTTACAAAAATACTGCAAAATTAATGAATGTTAGAATGATGTTGAAGTTAAGTGGTTTTCAGCAGCAATGTTAAAAAGATGTGCAAAAATTGATTGTTAATAGGTGATAATTTAAAGTTATAATATATTAAGACTAAAGATTAGGATAAAAACAAAGAGGGAAAGGATTTGCTGAACCAACTAATTGAACTGGATACAAAAAAGGGAGGTGTGAGGAGGTCCGGGGAACAGGCAAATGAAAGATAAGACATGGAAAGATTGAATTGTTTTTAACTGTTTTTATTTTGTATTTTTTCTTTTTCTTTTTTCTTTTTGTAATATTTTGAAAACCTTAATAAAAATTATAAAAAAGAAGGTATACCTTCTTTTTTATAAAAGAATAAAAATTATAAAAAAGAAGGTATGGGCCTATGGCCGTAATAAATATTATCGTATCGTATCGTATCGAAGGTATACCAAACTGTTGTAAATGTGTCCTTTCTCTGCAAACCCCTCACAAGCTTTAATTTGTTCGCCAGTTTTTCCACCAAAGCTAACCGCCATACTTTCTTACGTCACAAGCAAGTAGTAGATGGAGAAGATGGAGAAATGTTCTTGGGTGACATTGAGAAGGCAGAACTACTCAGCACCTACTTTGCCTTTGTCTTTACCCAAAAGGAAAGCAGTGCAGAAATGCTCTTGGGCAGGCATCCCCAAAGTTGTCCCTCCAGCTGTTTTGGGACTACAATTCCCATCATCCCTGACCACTGGTCCTGTTAGCTAGGGATGATGGGAGTTGTAGTCCCAAAACAGCTGGAGGGCCAAGTTTGGGGGTGCCTGCTCTTGGGTGACATCGAGAAGGCAGAACTACTCAACACCTACGGTACTTTGCCTGTGTCTTCACCAAAAAGGAAAGCTGTATGAACACAGAATAAATGTTGCAATTGCAGAACTGCAGCTGTAGATAGGAAAAGAGGTGGTTAAGGAAACACCTAGGTACTTTAAATGAATTCAAATCTCCAGGGCCTGATGAGCTGCACCCAATGGTACTAAAGGAGCTTGCAGATGGGATGTCGGAGGCTTTGTCTATTATATTTGAGCATTCTTGGAAAACAGGTAAGATCCCTGCAGTTGGAGCCAGGCAAATGGAAGACTGATACCAGGAAAGGTCCTAGGAACAGATTCAATGGTCAGCCTGTGAGCACTTAGAAAAGGAAGCTGCGATGACTAAGACCCAGCATGGGTTTCTCCAAAAACGAGTCATGTCTGCCAAATCTTATTTCTTTATTTGATAAAATTGCAGGCTGTGTGGAATGTTGTAGGTATAGTGTACACTGTTTTCAGTAAGGCTTTTCAAGGGATGGCTGTGGGAAGCATTCTGGATTACAGGGGGTTGGACTAGATCATGCACCCCCAAACTTGGCCCTCCAGCTGTTTTGGGACTACAACTCCCATCATCCCCAGCTAAGAGGACCAGTGGTCAGGGATGATGGGAGTTGTAGTCCCAAAACAGCTGGAGGGCCGAGTTTGGGGGTGCCTGGACTAGATGATCCCTGGGGAATCCCTTCCAACTCTAGGATTCTGTCCAGAAAGCTCCCTCACAGCCACCATCTTTTCCCGCCTGCCTCCTTTGGCTCCTCCCTCACACCTCACTCGACCGAGCCGTTTTGGCGTTGTTGTTTTTAAAACCTAACCGCCTTTCGCCTCCTTGCTCCCGCCCCTCCTCCCTTCTCGCGCCTGTTGTGTCTTACGCCGACGGCCGCCGCGCGCAAAAAGCCGGCATTCGGCCAATGGGCAGAAAAGGCGGGAGCCAGAACGCGTCCAGCCCTCGACGGCGATTGGCTGGGAGAGGACCCAGCCAAAAAAAAGAGAAAAAGTCTCTAGAGGAGGGGAGGGAGCAGAACGTTTAAAGATGGCGGCCGTGGCAACGAGAAGGCGGTTTCCCTGAGAGGGGGCGGGAGGGAAGGGAAATAAAAGAAGCTCCCGCGACGGAGGAGGAGGAGGAGAAGAAGAAAAAGGAAAAGAAAACAAAGATAACGACGCCGGCGCGGCCCCTTCCTCCTACCCCGGCTGGTTTCTCCCCCCTCACTTTGGCTTTGGAGGTGGGGCGAGGAGAAAGCACAACCGCGAGCCCTCGAGCGAGGAGCGGCAGGGACTACTCCGGGCATGGCCCAGGTGGGTGCCGGGCCTGTGGGCTCCGGCAGGGCGCGGCGAGGAGAGAACGGGGCCTTGGCGCGGCCTGGCCGCCTCAGCTCCGCCGTCCTTGGACGGTAGTGGCGCGCGTGCGAGAGAGCCCCCTCCCGGGCCTAGGCCCTGCGCAGCTACTAGGGGGGGGGAAGCGGTGTTGTGTGTAGGGAGGGGGTGGTGGAGATGCGGAATGATAACGGGGAATCATCCCTGCGGAGCCCCCGGGCCTTCTTTTTACTCGGCTTGGGCCTCGCGGTTTCGGGAGGAAGCGGAGGCTCCGTGGTTGGTGGCGGAACCTTGATGCGGATGAGGCGAATTACTTTTTCTTTCTCACCCGCCTTTAAACAAAAAAAAAAAACCCACGTTGAATAGAATTATATGGAAGTGGGTGCGAAATGGGGTTTTTTGGAGGGTGGCGGGGAGGGAAACCTTAGTAAGACCAGCGCGTGCTACCCCCGATCCCTCAGGAATTGGGTTTTATTTAATAAATAAATACTGTATCTTAGATAGCAGGGCGGGATACAAAAGTGAGGCCGAAGATGACCATACTATTACCACCGTCGTGAACTTATGGGACGGATACACCCAGCCGCCTAAGAACAGTTGTTTATGGTAGTAGTTTTAGGGATGTAGTGTACTGGCGTGATGACTTGTTGTGCAGGTAGGAGGTAAGAGGTTTAATTTCTTCGGGCTTTTTTAAAAAAACATAAAAAATAATAATCCCTGGTCTTGTGGCCTTTGAAAGACTTGCAGGTGCTTTCCTTGGTTAGAGCCAGTTTGGTCTTCAAAGAAAGTGATCATGGAGGCTTTATTATGCCTTTGATAAGTCGAGATTGATTGAGGAAAGCTTTTGCCACACCATAGAGAACAAAAAGTAGTGTCATAATCTATTTGCTTAATTTAAGTGATGCATATATTCTACTTTCTAAAATTTCTCAAGACAACAATATTAAGAGGAAAGATTAGGAGATATAGCAGTGTTTATCATGGCCCAAGACTCATTTTTTAAAAATAAATAAATTGCTTAACAGACTAACACTGCTACCCCCCTAGAATCAGGTTTCATTGTGTTTTTGAAACTTATCTCTAGTAGCTGGACTGGGAAAGATCCTTATAAGATCCTGAAGAATGGTTGCACTGACTTTGTGTGAAGCAGTTTCCTGTTTCCATAGTTTCCTCTAGTCCAGCATCCTGCTTCCAGTTTGATCATCCTCTCTCCCACCCCACCCCCCACATTCATTATTCTGTCATTTGTTACCTACTGGATTTTGAAGAAGGGTCAGCCTTCTCTTAAAGGATGGTGGTGAGGAGCTTGTTCTTAGCCCTTTTTTGCTACATTTGGAAAGGATTTGTGCCTTATTCTGTAACACTAGACAGAAAACAGTGTGTGGTGGTTGTGATCTAGCCCCCACCTGATGTTTGCACCCTGCATGGTCTGTAGTCTACAGAACATCTTATGTAATCTTAAGTGCTGTTGTGTTTGGGAGGGAAGAAATTGTTTAACTCAGGCTTGTTTAATTCCAGTAGGGTTACCTGCTTTCATGCCCCCAATAAATAAAAGGAAGGAGGGAAACTTTAATCAACTTGATTTTGGTTTGTTGGACTTTTGAAAGTATGGTAGCAGGACCAATTCTTTGTTGTTATTAAGTGCACCATCCTAGAAGTTTGCTTGTATTCACAAGTTATCCACTGTTAAAACTTGGCTTAGCATTTAAATGGTAGTGTTTATTTAGGTGAGGTGTGGCTCAGCATCACATAAGTGATTCTGCAGTTTCTGCATCATAGTGTGTGTGTTCTATTGGGCAGAGATTTATTTGTTGTATACAGCACCTAGCACACTGATGCCTCATAACTGGATAGTAATTGAAAATAATAAACATGGTATATGGTGTTTTATGGGTGTTCAAAGCTCTGATTTCTACAACAGCATTGCATGGTAGGCTGGTATTAGGGTCATGTTTCAGATTGGGGAGGGGGGAAGCGTGGCTGCCTAAGGTTACATGGCTCAACTTGGCTGAGAACCACTCTGGGCTGGGAAAACCTGTCACCTCTGAATCCCAAAGGAGTTTGGAGTATGTATCAGCCAATTAGTTGCTTAGTTTCTGCATTGCAAAACATATATGCCAAAGTCACTTAGTGGAGCATGTTCTTCCAAATGGGAGGCCAGTAGGCACAGAAAATACATTTGGCTTAGCTGCTTTACTACAGTACATAATATAGAACTTTGATTTTTATAAGCTATTTTTGTACATTCAGGGATTGCCTGAGTGGATGCTGGAAAAATCATTGGGAATATCCATGTGACAGCTGAGAGAGGCTTGAAGTTGTTTGGTCTCTTCTTTTGCTACTAAAGAAATTATGAAGTCTAGGGGCTTTCTCTTTTAGACATAGTTTTGGGGTGGTGATAGCTTGCCTGGGTCTGTGAACCAGTTGTATTTTGTAATTTTCTGGTATCACTTTCACACTATGAACTTCAGTGGATTTTCAGGACCTTAATTAAATATTGGAGATAAGTACAAAAACATACTAATTTGAAATTGTTTTGGGGGTCTTTGGACTGCAATAAAGTTTTAATGATAACATACTAAGCTACAAAATCTGTTACTAGTCTGTCTATGCTGTTTGCTTTGTCAGAGTTTGAATAGTGGGTCTGTCTGGAGTTTTTGGTAGTTTTCTCTGTCTTTGGTCAATAATAATTCGGTCATGAATTTCAGCATTCTAACATTAACACATTCCAATCAGTTAGACCAGAGGTTTTCAGCATTTTTGAGACCACGGCTCCCTTCACCAACTACATTCTTTCTTCGGCACCCCTGTGGGGCTCAGGAGCCTAGTTATGTCACCTCTTGCCTCTCACCCTCCCTTGTGGAGTATTCCCTCAGCCTCCTTTCCCCTCTCCTTGGGAGTCCTCTGGGCAGCTGCTGCTGTCGTTCCTGGTCTCTGAACTGCCCCCCCACCCCACCCCAAAGAGAGGTGCCTCCAAGTGAAACCATTCACCTGCGGAGCTTATAGCTGGGGCTGCTGCAATAAACAGCTGTGCAAGCCTTTGGGAGGCGAGATGCAGGAGGGCATCAGAGGAGGAAGGGAAGAGGGACAGAGGCAGTGTTGCCTGTGGCACCCCTGACCATCATTCAAGGCACCCCAGGGTACCATAGCATACTGCTTGAAACCCACATACACTATGATTGTGAGCCTAAAATCAGAGGGACTTGTTTCTGAATAGGTAAATGGTACTTGCATGTTAACCTGGTGTATTTTGTAAGAAACCGTTCCACATCCCCCCCATTTCTTTAATGTAAAAGGTTATTTCAGCCATCCCAGGACTCAGCTATACAGCTGCAAATAAAACGTTTTAAGTGTTGTAAAGTGCACTATACAAATGCGACACTAGATGACGATGGTGAGCTATGGCAAATTCAATATATTTTTCCAAACTTTTTTTTAAAAATGCATTTTAACAGGATTATTTATATGAGTCTAGATTCCACCCCAGATAATACATTTTTGACATATATTTATTTAGTCAGGACTACACAGCTGGTCTCTGCAGAAAACCTTGGTGTTCCTGGTGCTCTTTTCAGAAGACAAATGTGGAACAAAAATATGTCCGCATCTGGGTTCTTACAAAAATATGTCCCAACTGGCTGAGCTGTGTGTACCTGCGTTTTTCTGTACAGTCGTACCTTGGATCCCGAATGCCTTGCAAGTCAAATGTTTTGGCTCCCGAACGCTGCAAACCTGGAAGTGAGCATTCCAGTGTGCGAATGTTATTTGGAATCTGAATGCCTGATGCTACTTCCGCGGTTTCCAAACGTTTTAGAAGTCAAATGGACTTCTGAAACGGATTTCGTTCGACTTCTGATGTACGACTGTATTTTGTAATTTCGGCACTGTATATGTTTGCTGCAGGAAACATTGCTGGTACAGTCATAATTCGTACTTTGCCTGTATCGTATGTGTACCCTAGAAGAATGGAATGATAGAACTGTAGAATTAGAAAGTACCCCAAGGGTAATCTAGTCCAATCCCCCACAATGCAGGAATCTCAGCTAAAGCATCCATGACAGATTGCCACCCAACCTCTGCTTTAAAACCTCCTCTGGAGAGTCCACAGCCTCCTGAAGGAGTCTGTTCTACTGTTGAACAGCTCTTACTGTCAGAAAGTTCTTCCTGATGTTTAGAAGAAAACAAGTGTAGTATTAATGGAAGCAGTCAGTGTGTTATAACCATCTACCACTCATTTGTGGAAAGGGTTAGGGTAGACGTTATTGTGACTTCTGCACATCAAAACAGCATTGCTTCTTTTAAGTTTATGTAAGCTGGGTCTTCCTTCCATTTTATACAAACCAGTAGGTTCTCCTATTCTCACTTTTTAAAGAAGAAATAGAAGTATTCTTCCAGACTTCCATCCATCTGCATTTATGTACTCTTCCTCCTCTCAGATAAACTTAATGTGGAAAGTTAAACTCTTGCATCCCCTCCCCCCATTTCCCCCGCAAATCTATTAATTCATGGAAGGAGCAATGGGGAGAGGGAGTTGTGTTGAAATTGCATCTCCTGTGTAGTGTGTTGGGGTGTGAATGTTTGAAAGTACTGTGTATGGTAGGGCTTGGATGATACCAGTTTTTCGCCATTGCAATATATCACCTGCTAAACATTGTGATATATCACAATGTCTGAAATAAGGATGAAGCTATGTAGAGGCATTGGCTAGCTTCACAGTTTTTCCCATATTGTGATTTTTGCATAGCGTGTGCGCACACTCCTTATGATTGGTGATATATTGCCAGGTCAAAAATTATGAAACTGATATCACAATATGGACATCAAACCAGTTCTGGACAGTATATTGATATATCACCCAGCCCTAGTGCATGGAAGAGTTTTCTTTGAAGTTTGAATTGAGCTGATCCAAACAGCTGGGTTTTGTGGGATGGGGGAGTAATTCCTTTATTCCCTGCTGGTAGGATTTTTTGGGGGGTTATATAGAGGGACTTGGAAAAATCAATTAGCAACAGGTAAGAATTTCCCATCTTATCTCTCCATGGTCACTGCAGTGAAAATAAGTACTGTACTTTTCTGTGTATAAGACTAGGGTTTTTTACTAAAAAATAATGTTAAAGGGGGGGGCTCGTGCATTGTGGTGCCAGGTGATTGGTTGAGTCCCCCAAAATAGGGGGCGTCTTATACACGGGGGTGTTATACACAGAAAAAATATGGTATATATGTCTTTAAAATATAATGTACTTGAAAACCTTTGATTTTAATGTAGGTTTTTAAAATGGGCAGTAAAAGGGTGGTTTGCTGTAGAATATATTTTGGGAGAGGCTCTTCAGGATTAATATCTCCTGTCTTGTGGGTAGGGCACATAGAGATAATTGTGTTTTCTGAATTTCACCCTACGAGTGCAAGAGATGACCACAGTGCAATAAGAATTTTTTTCACAGGTTTAATTACTACCAGCTGTGCAAATTGCTCTCTCTCTCACAAACTATTTTATATATTTATATATAATATTAAATAGAGATATATTAGATAGGGATATAGAGATATATATGAAGCCCAGATTAAAAGTGTGTATGTGCAGCTAAAATAACATATCATTTATAGGTAACCTCATTTAGGATTTTATTAAGGAAGCAGTCCCTAAAATATTCCAACCTCCGATATGTTATTTATGGTGGTCTTAAGCTTCTCTAAAGATATCCAGTGAGTGCTTGTCTCAGCTGATTTGAACCCTGCATCATCTTCCTTTTAGCCTGCACTTGTCATTATCTAGTCTTGCAGCACAGATGTATGCATTTGTTGTGTCAAAATGTGTGAGAAAAATAACATGCAGATTGCTACACAGAAGTGGTGTTCATGTATGAAAACCATCTTGTGTAAAGTCACTCTTAAGATTCTGCGACTGCTCATATTGGTGAAACTGTGTGTACGTCACTGGAATCCTTCCAGTGTCCTTGTATTTATCCTTTATGTTGTCTCGGCACTTCAGATTTTGTTAATGTAGATAAAGACAATAAACCTAATAATAATACTCTAATATTTATGAGGTATTACTGTTTTACTAGAATTAGCATTTAGTTAATAATAGGTAGTCAAATGTTTCATATGAAAGGAGCTTGCTTTTTTAAAAACTTGGAATTAAAAATAAAACTGTATTTTCTGTGTGCCAATATTGGCTTTCAATAGCATGTGAGCCAGTAACTGTGTTGTAGTCTGTTCAGCAGTTCGTTGACTTAAAGAAGAATAGGTACCGTATTTTTCGCACCATTGGACGCACTTTTTTACTCTTAAAAAGTAAGGGGAAATGTCTGTGCGTCCTATGGAGCGAATGTGTGGTCCCTGGGGCCAAATTGTCGGAGTGCGGCACACTCTTGGACTGGTCTTTGGTAGTGGTGGTGGAGCCGCGCTCCCCTGCCGTCAGCCTCGGCTTCCCTCTGCCGCCCCAGGAAGCTTTGGAGCAAGGGGAGGGCTGTGCGCCCCTGCCCCGCACTCCTGGGCTGCTGAATGGGGGGGGGGAGAGCCGCGCTCCCCTGCTGGCAGCCTCGGCTTCCCCCTGCAGCCCCGGGAAGCTTTGGAGGAACGGGAGGGCTTTGCGCCCATCCCCCGCGCTTTTGGGCTGCTGAATGGGGGCGGAGGGGAGAGCCGCGCTCATCTGCTGGCAGCCTCGGCTTCCCTCTGCAGCCCCGGGAAGCTTTGGAGCAAGGGGAGGGCTATGCGCCCCTGCCCCACACTCCTGGGCTGTTGAATGGGGGAGGTGGGGAGAGCCTCGCTCGTCTGCCGGCAGCCTCGGCTTCCCTCTGCAGCTTTGGAGCAACGGGAAGGCTGTGCGCCCATGCCCCACGCTCCAGGGCTGCTGAATGGGGGTGTGGGGGGGTGCTGCTCTGCCAGCAGCCTGCCCTTCCCCTCAAGGTTTGGAGCAGTGGGCAGGCTGTGCGCCCATGCCCCACGCTCCAGGGCTGCTGAATGGGGGTGGGGGGTGCTGCTCTGCCAGCAGCCTGCCCTTCCCCTCAAGGTTTGGAGCAGTGGGCAGGCTGTGCGCCCATGCCCCACACTCCAGGGCTGCTGAATGGGGGTGGGGGGTGCGCTGCTCTGCCAGCAGCCTGCCCTTCCCCTCAAGGTTTGGAGCAGTGGGCAGGCTGTGCGCCCATGCCCCACGCTCCAGGGCTGCTGAATGGGGGTGGGGGGTGCTGCTCTGCCAGCAGCCTGCCCTTCCCCTCAAGGTTTGGAGCAGTGGGCAGGCTGTGCGCCCATGCCCCACGCTCCAGGGCTGCTGAATGGGGGTGGGGGGTGCTGCTCTGCCAGCAGCCTGCCCTTCCCCTCAAGGTTTGGAGCAGTGGGCAGGCTGTGCGCCCATGCCCCACGCTCCAGGGCTGCTGAATGGGGGTGGGGGGTGCTTCTCTGCCAGCAGCCTGCCCTTCCCCTCAAGGTTTGGAGCAGTGGGCAGGCTGTTCACTGAGAGAGGGGAGGAAGAGGACGAAGAGGAAGGGGGACCAAGAAGCTGGGTGAAGGGAGATGAGGTACCATAGGTTGCCGTGAGTGGAGAGTCATGGTAGAGGGCAAAGGAGAGGGAGCAGTGAAGGGGAGAAATTGTAGACGTCACCTGAGGAGTTTGGGTGAAAGGGATGGAGTGGAGGAGGCTGGAAAAGGGGACTGTTCTGCGGGGGGGGGGGGGAGAAAAATGTGGGGAAAAGGAAAGCCTCCCAAGCCTGCTACTGAGAAGCTCTGCTTGGCTGTTTCTTGACTGTAATTCAAGTAAAGGGAATGTTTGCGAGCAGCTGGCAGGCTGTTCGCTGAGAGAGGGGAGGAAGAGGATTGAGAGGAAAAAATGTGGCATTAGCAATGCTTTGGATGGATACGAAGATGGTATTTTACATGAAGATAGCGAAGAAAGTGATGTCTCTGACTGTGAGCAACTGAGCTTCATAAATTCTGACTTTAGCAGTGATGAGTTCTTGGGATTCACAGAAGACTAGAAGAGTACTCAAACCTTAAAGTCTCTCTTCATTTGTTAATGACAGTGATGATGGTTCTTAATGCATTGTTGACTGCTGTTCACTTTACATGGCTGTAATGTGATTCTGATATACCAGTTGTTTATTAAATACAGTAGTTTATACAACATTTGATTCAGAATATTTTTTCCTTGTTTTCCTCCTCTAAAAACTAGATGCGCCCTATGGTCGGGTGCGTCCAATGGAGCGAAAAATACGGTACTTTTGCATAGCCCCATTTTAATGCTTCAACTGCTTGTTCAAGTCCACCTGCTTGTTCAGTCACCATAAGCATTATTTTTTAGATTAAACTGCTGTTTGTGTTGCTGTTTAACAGCATGTAGGTAAAACACACCATTCTGAATTTTGTGTAGCAGAATTGTCCTTTAGAATTGGAGACCAATAGAAAGAAAGCTTTTCTGATTATTCTTTTTTTCTCTCTCTTTGTAGGTTGAAAGAAGAAAAGGACACCTGCATGCGGCCAGTGAAGATGCTCTTTACTTCGACATCAGCTATTTAAGCTGAATGCATTGTGATTTCCAGTAATTGAGACAGTGGTTCTGAAAGCTGTCTACATTAATGAAAAGAACAATGTAGTCAGCTTAATTGAATCATCAGTGTTGCATATTGAATAGAGCATGACAAATCCGATCTTGATGGACTTCTTCATGTTAGGAGTATAGATCAATATACCTTTTATTTAAAGCCTTGTTTTTTTGTAAGTTTTAATTATGGAGAATTATGAAAATGCACCTCCCCTTCCAAAAGAGCCAGCAACAGAAGCGAATGTGGAGAACCATTCTTGTCCCCCACCACTGCCGCCTAATGAACAGCCTCCACCACCTCCCCTGCAAACGTCCAGTGACGCAGAGGTAATGGACGTTGGCTCTGGTGGTGATGGACAGTCAGATACCCCTGCTGGGGACGCACACACTGTCGGCAGAATACAACTTCTCACAAAGGGATCGTCATGCTACAAAAGTCGTCTTATCGTAGATCCTAATAGTGACCAAAGCCCAAGAACTGCTCGTCATGCGCCGTCAGTTAGAAAGTTCGTCCCTGATCTTAAGTTGCTTAAAGATGTAAAGATTAGTGTTAGCTTTACAGAGAGCTGCAAAAGTAAAGACAGAAAAGTTCTGTACACTGGAGCTGAGCATGGTTATGAGGCAGATACAGATTTAGGTATTAATAATGTTAATGGGGGTATGCATGCTTGTCCTCTGGGTGGGGGTAGTAATGGTCAAGCTACACGAGTAGCTGGTGAAAATGATGACAAAAAGGAGGATGAAAATGATGTAGATCAGGAAAAGCGAGTTGAGTATGCAGTTCTGGATGATTTAGAAGATTTTACAGAAAATTTGATGGAAATAGATGAAGAAGGAGGGTTTACGTCTAAAGCAATCGTTCAGAGAGACAAAGTGGATGAAGAAACCTTAAGCTATTCTTATGAGGTAAGTAAATTCTGTTTCTAATTTCAAACATTTCTTCAGGTTTTATATATTAACTAAAAGGTCTCTGTACCAAGTAATATTCAGATTATAACAAATGCTTAAATTTGGGAGTGGTGTTAAGAGCTGCTTAACTGTATGAAATATACATTTAGACAGTACTGAGAATGGATATGTTGTGATTTGTTTTCTTTTTTTGTTTCTTTATGAAGGCTGTGAGCGTTGTTATTCTAGAGAACGCTAAGAAAGCGTCAAGTTATTAATAATTTACTTAAAACATGACACTTTAATTCTTAGTTGGCTTATGATGGGGATGGGATTTTGTGGATCCCTGTACAAATCATTCTTGCTTTGACTTCAGTATTGTCTGAGGAGGAGAATAGGTATAGGGGCATGGTATATCACAATGTGTTTTTCAGGATGAATTTGATAATGATGTGGATGCTTTGCTGGAAGAAGGCCTTTCTGTTCCTAAGAAAAGGAGAATTGATGAGAAATATGCAGGGGAGAGTGACCATCAATCTGATGGAGAGACAACTGTGCAGCCAATGATGACCAAAATAAAAACAGTTCTTAAAAGTAAGATATTTACATTATGTATAACTATAGATATGTTTACTATGTACTCTTTTTGCAGTAATATTTTTGAGGTAATGGTCTGAACATTCCCACAATATATTAGTCCAAAAGCAGTCCATCGGCCAGGTCTTGTGCCCTCCTTGATATCAGCCGTCTTCTTTCTTTCTGAAGCAGGTAGCAAAACCAGGAAGTTCCTGGTTGGCCACCATAGATGATAAGAAATACTGAGCTTGTAGGCTCCTCTGGGCCAGCCCAATATATTTTTGCACCTGAGGCGAACCACAAAATGCCCCCCCCACCTGGGAAGAAGGGGTGTGAAGAGCTACGTCAGGAATAAGGGGAGAATAAAGATCCTTATCGGGAGCAAGGGTGGAAGGAAACTAGTAGCAGCACCTATTTGCCAAGTGGCTACTGTAGCTGCTGAGGGGTAACAGATCTGGTTTCCAAAGAGTGTACTACAGCTGTCACTGCCATTGGTTCAGTGGCAGCAGTGGGCAATGCATTCCTTGGGGGTTGGATCTACTGCCCCTGTGGATCCTGCCCCCTGAGGCAGTCAGTTCATCTTGACTCATGGGTGGGCTGGCCCTGAGGCTCACACAGGCTGTGTAACCCAGGTAGATTGGGATCTCTGGGTGATCTGCAGTAGATTGGCAAGGGTTTCTGAGTCTCAATTGCTGAACAGTATCAACTGCAATGTGACCCAACCCCCCCCAGCCCCCATGTCCCATTAGACGGATGAAACAAGGAAAGCTTGGAGTGCCAAAAGTACATTTCTGTGTGGAAGAATGTTGAACTCTGCTTGGTTCTGTTACTTAAAACCATTTGCTCAGCAGCTGCTTGAGACATCACACGTTCTTAAATATAAGTGTGCGTCTTTTGGATCTAGCTCTTCTTTGATCTTGAGGCTCTATTAAAATCCACAGTAGATCCCGCAAGCCTTATGTCTGCTCTACCCTGTCGTAGACATTTTTGTATATTAGTGTTGTGGAATCCTAAAGGAGAATATTTTAGATAGATGTTGAATGTGAGGTTTGTGAAGGTAAACTGTGAACACCTTCATTAGAAATCTTCGAGGGGTACTAAACTTGTAGAGAATATGCAGTTTTTATTCTCGGTAGGACCAGTATCTCGGAGGAAAAATAACATCTCATTAAAGTGCCACACATTGGTTTTGCAGGCTGGTGGTACTCGGCAGCCCAATTCATTGCACTTGGAAATAAGTCTTGCCTTGTTCAGTGGTAGTTTCTGTCAAATAAGTGTGCTCAGGATTGCAGCCTAAATCAAGCTGGTTATGATGTGGAAAAGAGTATTAAATATTTTGCCTTTTGCTTGATTTTTAAAAAAAAATGCATATGGCTTCTCTTGAAGTTAAGAAATTACAATAAAGATTGAATGTTTTCAGTCCTTTGTGAAGCCACAAAAAGGGGGCAAGTACATATTCCTAGGGATTTGCATTCCCTGCTCTTTTTCTGATGAAAAAGGAGAGGTACAAAAAGAGGCGTGCAATAAATTTATTTAACAGAGGTTAGTATTTGTGAGAAATCAATCTTTCAGTGTGGTAGCACCCACTGCCATACTTTAGGGAAGTCTACCCAGATATGATGACGTGTTTAAATCTGGCTTTCAGTTCATCATCAGTTTTTATTATTTTTTGGAAGTTTTTAAGTCTGAGCTTTCCAAATTGTGTGACAACATGTTAGTGTGTCGGCTGCAGTGTGTAGGTGTGTTGTGTGAATGCTCCCTGTGCTGCTAAGGGATTAGTTTAACCTCCAGTTTGCTAGTAAATCTGAATTACTTGTCATGAAATGATGCATATCTAAAAAATGTGTCACCAACATGAAAAGTTGGGAAAACTACTTTAAGCAGTTTTTGCTTTTTTTTTACTGATAATTTAATCATTTTGTTCTTTTTGTAAACAGCTTGTAAGGGTTTTAAAAAGTTGATATGGTGCAGCAAACAAGTTGCAGCTTGAATAATACTGAGGATGAGAGAGAGAGAAATAAAACAATATATTCATATTTTCATGAATATATTCATGTTCAAAATACTGTTTCACCCTGGAAAGCAAATTGCTAACTTTGTGTACAGATTGGAAGTAAATGCAGTCTGACCACTTCAAAATATTACCGGGACGTATGGGGCATCGATTGAATGTCATTGTGGGCCTTCAAAAACAGGGAGCCCCTTCACAGCCTTGCTATTAACTAGGGGTTGGGAGAGGTGGCAGCAGCTTTTACTCTCCTCTTGGTTGATCATTTACACTGATATATTTCTTTGATATATAACTTCAGACTTCTTGTGTATCCTTCCAACCACTTTTGTTGTGATAAGACATCTTGTGCATTGAGCAGTTTCTCCTTTTTTCTGAAGGTCGTGGCCGTCCACCTACAGAGCCCTTGCCTGATGGATGGATCATGACATTCCATAACTCTGGCATTCCTGTATATCTGCACCGAGAATCCAGAGTTGTCACCTGGTCCAGACCTTACTTCTTAGGAACAGGAAGCATAAGGGTATGGAACAGACTTCAATAAATTTGGTCATTTAGAGAAATTAGATTTTGAATATATCTGTAGCCTTTTGTTGTGATTATTCGTAGAAGTATTGTTGACAAAATGTCATTGAATATAGTTGCCTAAAGACCTACTTTGATTTTACTTGCTGGTTCAGTTTATGTTTCTAAAAATGGGCTGTGTTTCTAAGAATTAGCTTCCACAGTAGCTTGGCAAACCAAGTTAAATATGAAGGTACCTGAATTTCTCACCCTGAATAATATCATGTAGATTGCATGGGGAAATATTGCCTCTTTTAATGCCATTTGTATAAATATATTTTAGAATTTTACTCGGCTGTAACTAAGTCATAATTGGAAACATACAGCAAATTCAACAATATTATAAAATTTTGTATTTTCACAATCATATCATGCTGTTGCTTCATTACCTTCATTTATTAAACTGGGCATTTTATAGGAGCACTGCAGTTCCAGTGGATTGCACTTACGTTCACATGGTATTCTGGTAATAATTGAATAACTGCATTAACAAATAAAATAAGATTCAGCATGACTTTGCATAGCTCCAAAGTGCAATTCCCTTTTGTTCACCTGCATACAACTTCCATTCAGATGTTGAAGGTAATAAATGGTTGACATGCTGTGGCTGGCTATATAAAGCATAAAATAGCTTTTCGACAACATACTCCATTTTCTTGAAAATGCTCACCTAGCAAATCTCTACAAAGTTCTCAGGATCTCAGGCTTTGCTAGTGTATGATAGGGGAGGCATATAGGAAACTTTGAACACTACTGGAAGAGGTTAGACCTGGGTTTTTAGATTTGTTCTCATAATTTTAACTTTAAAATTTTATATTTGCAGAAACATGATCCCCCGTTGAGTAGCATTCCATGTTTGCATTATAAGAAAATGAAGGAAAATGAGGAAAGGGAACAAAATAATGACATCACCCCAAATGGGGAAGTATCGCCTATAAAACTCATGGATAAGTCTTTAGAATTTGACTGCCAAACAGAGGAGCCGGACTCCACTGCTGCTGATTCTGGGACTTTAGATGAGAAAGACCCACCCGGGGGAGATGCAGCACAAGGAGCCTTAGGTCAAGTTAAGGCCAAGGTTGAGGTGTGCAAAGATGAATCAGTAGGTAAGTGACAAAAATGTTGATTTCTTGAGTGCTAAGAATCTAACTCAAGCATGTAGGCTTCCTTGTAGATACTGTGGCACTTGGCTTACAGATGTAGAACTTGCGAACGCAGAGGGCTGCAAGCCCTAGGAGATTTCTATACTCTTCCCATTGCAATTCAGTAAATGCTAATTCGGTATTCCATTTCTCCTTCAATTTGTAATGAAATGCTGCTGCTGCTGCTGCTGCTTGTGTGTTTTAAATACAATTCCATTGTATTTAGTTGTAGTTATAAGCATTTAGTTGGTTTGTTGTATGCTGCAGCCCTTTTTCAGTTCTCCGATGGAAGCACATGTTAAAATAAATTGGATGTGCAGTAAAACTAATGTATAAATCTTTACTTCAAATATTCCATCATCATGCATAGTGAAATGCTAGAATCGTAGCATAGCTGGGACCTGCCAGGCATCAAAACTAGGGGTTGCCAACCTTTTGAGGCCTGTGGGCACACTTGCAAACTGGGGACATTTGAGTGGGCACGCTTGCACACAGCAGCAGAATGCTTCTTTTGAGCCTAACTATTTTGTCACTGTCTTTGTAATGTAAAGGTGGTAGCTTTTAATTGACCATGGGGATTGAATATTTTTTCCTAGATCTTGAAGATTTTAGACACTATCTTGAAAAGCGTTTTGATTTTGAACAAGTAACTGTAAAGAAATTCAGAACCTGGGCAGAGAGACGACAGTTCAATCGTGAGATGAAGAGGAAACAAGCAGAATCTGAGCGACCCATTTTACCAGCCAATCAAAAACTTATTACTTTGTCTGTGCAAGATGCACCCACAAAAAAAGGTAAGCCGGTATTAATATGTTAACGTTTGTATTGTGATACTATGGTTGGTAGCTCTTTAGGTGGCTCTTTGCATATACTTTAGAGCTTGAAAAGAAGAACTCTTAACTTTTTTCATTAGACGAGTGCTTAGCTTTTGTCCGAGTTGGATTAGTACTGGAAAGTAACAAAATACATGTGTAAAAATGATCCTAGCTTCCCTGCAGAACAGATTGCTTACAATCACCTGGTTCCTCTTTAAATATGAAAATTTGAGTTTGCATACCCCAAAATGGTCAGGGCACCAGGTTCTAATAGGGCTCAATTGGTGATTTCCCCGCCTTTCATAAAACTAACTTTCTTGCCCAAAAACTTTTTTGAATGCTTATAGCAGTCATGTCTTCATTTCAAGCTATGACAGTATTAAAACTGATTGTCTTCATTACAGATAATTGCTTTTGGATATAGTAATGTTTCCTTTTAGAAGGACTTGGGACATAATACTTTCCTTGTTTGATTGTGCAGCGACCAATTTGCTGTAAGACCATGTGAGGAGAGGTTCAGAGAGCTAGTGAAGCCATGCTATCTGACTTACAGTTTATGGAAGCTTTCCCAAGTACTTCTGTAGCTTGATCTTAATTCTGTACTTGGCAAGTGTAGAATGATCTACCTGAAATACTTTGCTTTGTGGAGCAGGAAGTGATGGAAACTGAATGGGAAGGGCCAGAGCTCTATTGCAGAACATCTGCTTTGTATGCATAAGGTCTTGGGTTCAATCCTGAGCATCTCCAGGAAGGGGTGATAGAGGCATGTCTGAAACCTTGCCAAGCTGCTATCAATCTGTGTAGACCAGTGTTTCCCAACCATGGGTTTCTAGACCGCAGTTCCCATCATCCCTGACCACTGGTCTTGCTAGCTAGGGATGTTGGGACCTGTAGTCCAAAAACAGCTGGAGACCCAAGTTTGGGAAATGCTGGTATAGACAATACTGAGCTCTGACTCTATAAGCAGCTTCCTATAAGAAGATCATTGAATGTGAAATAGAATGTGTCCTAATTATTATCATTGGGATTGGTTATTGGAGATATTCTATATGTGTTCTTCAACATGAACACTTTGAAATTAAGGAGCGAGTGCACACATACCCAGCCAATGACTCTGCATGTGATAGATGAATACATGTGTCTCCTTTTCCCCCTCACACATAAAGTACTGTGTAATGTGGTTGTTTCAGTTAGAGAGGCATGTCCAAGTGATTCTTGCACTTTGAGAAATGTTATGTTGGGGAGGAGTAGAAGAGGGTATGTACCTGCCCCTCTTTCAGGCAAACTGAGTAGTACGTGAACTTGTCTAAGCTGAATTAGAATACTGATTTTACTTTTTGCTTTATGTTCAGGAGCTCCTAATCTATATGTTATGCTGTTGGTAGTAAAATCCTTAAAGGCATTTGTAAAATGTTTTTCTTAATAGAGTTTGTTATTAATCCCAATGGGAAGTCTGAAGTTTGCATCCTTCATGAATATATGCAACGAGTCCTAAAGGTTCGACCTGTTTACAATTTCTTTGAATGTGGTAAGTCTTCACTATAGTATTTTTTTGTAGGACAACAGTTACTTGCAGTGTCTTGGGCTTGAACCAAGTATTCCAGGAAAATAAACAGTACAGGCATTGACAGGCTGTGCACTGCATCTAGAATAACGTAAATTAAGAAGTGTCCCTTGTTGGTTTTGAAGGAAAAACTGACTCATTGTAATGTGCAGATTCCTAGTTTTGTTCATTCAAAATGTCAATCACAAACAAATAGAAATGAAAGTATTAAGATAGCAGGTCATTGACCAGCTAATGTGGGATCTGAGAACTACTAAATTAAGAGTTGCATATTGATAGCACTTGTACAATCTTTTTAGATTACATCTTAGAACTTTAACATAGCATCTGAGGACTGTGTTAGCATTTCAAAAACTTCCTTTTTAGTAGTTATGTCACAAACAGAAGACATAAGGAAATTGTCGTTTTTATTTTGTAAACCTGTGATGAAAGCAGCCTGTTTGCATTATTTGGTCAAAATCACTTTTGTTTATCTTACACAAAGAGAATTGATAGTTCTCAGGCATCCTAAATCATGTAGGTTTAGGATTTGTTTAGAATTTGGTGGCTTCCCATTTTCTCTCCTCTTTAAAGAGAACCCAAGTGAGCCTTTTGGAGCCTCGGTTATTATTGATGGAGTGACTTATGGGGCAGGTACAGCAAGCAGCAAGAAACTTGCAAAGAATAAAGCTGGTAATGTAAACATATTTAAATATCATATATTGAAAGTCTGCTTGATAGCTAGTACCAATAAGGTTGCAATCCAAAGAATGTATGCATTTCAGCTCTACTGTCCATAATAAATACATGCAGGTTTAGGGTGTATGTACCTTTTAATACAGGGGTAGCTAACCTTTTCAGTCATCCAGGGGCCGCATGTTGTAATGGGCATGTAAGTGGGCATGATTACCGTATTTTTTGCACCATAACACTCACTTTTTTCCTCCTAGAAAGTAAGGGGAAATGTCTGTGCGTGTTATGGAGGGAATGCCTACGGGTGGCATGCCTATGGATTTTCCTCCTCTAAAAACTATGTGCGTGTTATGGTCGGGTGCGTGTTATAGAGCGAAAAATACGGTAATTTTGTTTTTTTAAAAATGCAGTCAGGAAGGGGGACCAACAAAGCTTTGGGCTTCATACATCACAGTGGGGAGTCATTTGTTAAAAAATTAAAAATTGCTATTTTAAAAAAATGACAGGTTGGATGGGATATGCGGGTCAGGGGTTAGCAACCCCTTCTTTAATGGATAATATTGAGTACAACGTTCTTGAACGATTTAAGAAACAATTATACAGTGGTACCTCACAAGACAAATGCCTCGCAAGACGAAAAACGCGCAAGACGAAAGAGTTTTCCGTTTTTTGAGTCGTTCCGCAAGACGAATTTCCCTATGGGCTTGCTTCACAAGACGAAACATCTTGCGAGTTTGTTTCCTTTTTCTTAAAGCCGCTAAGCCGCTAATAGCTGTGCTTCGCAAGAAGAAAAAACAGCAAGATGAAGAGACTCGCGGAATGGATTAATTTCGTCTTGCGAGGCACCACTGTAGTACTATTTCTACAATGTATGGATTAAATAGATTTAGAAGAACTCCTTTAACCTTTTAAACAGGAGAAGCACAGGATGGTGGCTCATAAGGAAAGATGCAGCCTTGGGGCTGCAGTACAGTATTACTTCTCATGTTTTTAAGTTGGTGGGATTTAAGCAGTCTCTTAACAGTGAGCAGGACTGCAGTCTTGGAACTCTGGTGTTATGTATGGAGAGTTCATAGCCTCAGAGATTGGTGGATTGAGCCTGTGGTATTTAATACTGATTCTGTAAATGCTGTATAAACACATCCTGTGCTTATCACACAAGTTGATTGTAAAATAGAAGTCTTTTTTCTACTGTAAAAACAGTTGGGAATTTTTGTTTTATGTCCATCGACATTTGTCAGAAATGTAATTTTGTGCAATACGCAATTATGGCAAGACCCTAACCCTTTCATTATATTCCATAGCCCGAGCTACACTGGAAATCCTCATTCCTGATTTTGTTAAACAGACCTCTGAGGAAAAGCCCAAAGATAGTGAGGAACTAGAGGTATGGACTTTACAATGCAATCCTGTGCATCTTAACATGGAAGTAAATCCCATTGAACTCAGTGGGAATTGCTTCCCAGTGTGTGTAGGATTGCAACTTTAATGGAATGTGATACATTGTTGTTGGTTTTTGTGGTGGTGTATTTTTATCTTGAGGGACGCCGTTGGTGCTGTGTTCTAAACCACTAAGCCTAGGGCTTGCCGATCGGAAGGTCGATGGTTTGAATCCCCGCGACGGGGTGAGCTCCTGTTGCTCAGTCCCAGCTCCTACCAACCTAGCAGTTCAAAAGCACGCCAGTGCAAGTAGATAAATATGTACTGCTGCGACAGGAAGGTAAACGGCGTTTCCGTGCGCTTCTCTGGTTTTGCCAGAAGCGGCTTAGTCCTGCTGGCCACATGACCTGGAAAAACTGTCTGCGGACAAACGTCGGCTCCCTCGGCCAGTAAAGCGAAATGAATGCCACAACCCCAGAGTCATTCACAACTGGACTTAACTGTCAGGGGTCCTTTACCTTTACCTTTTTATTTTTAGCTTAACCCACAGAGTAGCATTTTGCAGTTCTTTTAATAATTAGTTGCATTATCTTACATTGTAGACTGTATGGAAGCGCTTTGAGGATAAGGTTTCAAAAAGTTTTACACTGACACTTTTGAAATAGTGGATTATATCCAAATGCTCATCATTTAAGAGTAGACCCATTGAAATCAATTTACTTAAAGTTTATTTAAATGAGTATGACTTAGTTGGAAATCTCCCAGTTTCGTTAGTAGTCAAATATTTTTTTAACTGGTGATTAACATTTTCCAACACATAAATTCATAGATTCATGAGTATAGCTGTTCAGACATGCTAAAATTAGATTGCAATCTTATACACACCTGAGGGCAAGTTCAGTTGATTTCAGTAAGGGCTTAACTTTGGAGTAGACAAACATAGGATAGCAATGTCATATGATAACCTATTTCCAATGTCTTAAAATGTAACAGTATGTGTCTGCTGTTGAATTATCATGGTTTGGAATATTAACAACCAGTCCAATAAAATTATTTCTAAATAAAGCTTAGAATTTGTTTTAAATATAATATTTAAATCACACTGAATACGTTTTATTGAATTTTTGCTCCAGTCGTTCTTTGCTCTTCAGAAGAGTTAAGATGTTTGTGCAGCATATAAAATTAATACAACATTTTTAGTTTTATTAAATGTAAGCCAGATATAAATGCTAAATCAGATCTACATCAACCTTAGGACAGTGGGAATATTCAGACTGAAAGTCTTTCAGAAATACTCAACAATGAACCTACGGTATATATTTTCCTGGATTATCTAGAATAGGGGGGAAAGTGGGTAATAGGAAATTTAATTGAATTTGTCAAAATTTTGAAGCTGAAATGATCTGATTAATAAGCTGAAATAGGAATGAGTCTTGCACATCACTGCTTATTTCCTTCTTCTTAGCAAATTGCAGTTATGCATAGAAGTCTTCAGTTGAACATTTATCATTTACCAGTTGGGAATCTACAGTTACCAGTTTTAGAACAAGGCTGGATCTTAGCAGCTTTTTGGAGCTAGTTTATGAGCTGACGTTTTCCAAATCTGGTAGCAATAGTTTTCTGGCTCAGATGAAATGAGAGATTATGGTTAATTGAAGAGTTCCTGGCTTATTGTGCTGGGCTGAGGCAGCAGGTTGGCAGAAGGCTTGGGCATTTTCTTGGCTTATTCATCTGAGATAAGATTGTCTGACTGCTGTGTGTGACTTGTAATAAACTGATTATGACAGTCATTTTCCCCCTGTTTCCAAATATTACTATCTTTTAAGGCTAGGCTTATATGTATCTAGGGCTTTACCCATAGTCTTCCAAAACTGTATTAATCTTTGTTGCTGTTCTTTTAGGCTTGCTTAAAATGGAGTATGTGGCCAGCATAATGATCTTGCTAACTAAAGTGGAGCCAAAGCAAAATAAAGTGGTGGTATTCTTATATAGTGAAACATTTATTTCCCAATGAATTCATTTAAGGCTGCACAAAATGGCAATAAATAATAAATTTTGATGGCACAGTGCTATGCAGAGTGTTCTGCTTAGTACGGCAGTTCCATCCTTCAGGCATAAACTTTAAAGTCAAGGCTCAGAATTCCTTTTTGCCATTGAAGTAATGATGATCTACCAATTTTGTTGCAGTATTTTAACCATATCAGTATTGAGGACTCACGGGTATACGAACTGACCAGTAAAGCTGGACTATTGTCTCCATATCAAATCCTTCATGAGTGCCTTAAAAGGTAAGGTTGGGTACTGCTAATGTGTTCAGTAGAATTACAGATACCCCAGTGTACATTCAAATCTCCTGAGCAGTTGTGAGGGGGGATGCTTTTTACTAACTAAAAGTATGTTCATATGTTCTTCTGTTTTCTGTTAATGTTACAATGGCACAGACAATTCATGCTTGAATTCATGCTTGCAGTCCCCTAACCTGTGACAGCTATTTATCAACAGTAGTGGGACCATGAAACCATCTGATGGGAAACATGAGCCTAGAAGTCAGCACAAACTCTCATGCCAGCTATACGTTTGCTATACTTTTCAGTAATAGTGCTCACAAAGCAGATGTAAAGTTTGACTCTGAACCAAACAATTTAGCTTGCCCTCTCAAATGCAGGCATGTTAAATTATTTATTTTGGCACGATACTTCCAAATGACGCACTTTAGACACATTAATTATAATGGAAGAGCATTCAGCATGTTAATTCCCCCAGTGAAATCTTGAGAAATGTAAATGTGCTTAACTTTGGCAAGATTTTTGTGGGGTTTTTAAAGAAGTTAAAGAAATATTCATTTTTGACCAGTTGTTTGTTTTGCACAAAAGCGGCAAACTTCAATATTAGGAGCATGTGTAGAATGTTGGGTAGAAAACAGGATTTGTTGGTTAGATAGAAATAAAAATAATTTTTCATTAGCCAGATCTTTTACTTTAGAAACATTGTTAGCCACATGTGATATAAGTAGAGATTGTGGTTTGGTATGCTAACACCATTTCATCTCTATAAGAAACCATGGAATGGGTGACACATCCATCAAGTTTGAAGTGATTCCTGGTAAAAATCAGAAGAGTGAATATGTCATGACATGTGGGAAGCACACCGTGCGTGGCTGGTGTAAGTATGATGGCTGGTTTGAAAGCCTTTGAGATGACTATTCCTCTTCATTCTCTGCTTGATTGTGTAGCATTTGTTTCTAATTTTCCTGATCTTTGTGCTTTACCTCTGTTCTTGTATACACCAGTCTCATGGCCTTGACACCACTGTTACTTAAGATAGGAATTTGGATCTAGATATTAAGTATTTAGGAACTACACCTGGGAATTTCATGGCATTGTGAGACTGAAATGCTCTTCCTGAGATACGGGACTTGTATATTGGAAATACACAAATATTAGGAATAGAAAAGGCATCTTGTTGTGAAATGTTGCCAGGATTAGATGACATTTCCATACACACACACCTTTTTAAGGGGTTGGTATTTTTTATCTTCCTGGGTTGGATCAGTTTAAATCAGCTTGGAGGGCTAATGGTGGTCCCCTATGGGCCAGAAGCATGACTCTTGCTATTGAGTCATGCCTTCAATGTAGTGGGCCAAGTTCTATAGAACTTGTTCCCATTAAGCACAGTCCCTATTAGGTTTCAAATGCCAGGTTAAAATGGTTTTATTTCAGGAGATCTTTGCACTATGAATGCAGTTCTAATGTTTCTATTTCTGATGTTTTAAATTCAATTTCATTCTGACTGAGCTGCTTTGAGATATATAACGGGAAAGTATAAATTTCATAAATAGAGAGATAAATAATTACACTTAGGTTCTGTGGAAATTGGTATGAAAAGTCATGTCTTGGGTTGCAATTATTTAAATGGGAGCTGATTGCAGCTTAGTGTGGACCTAATCTTGACTTTCCATAATGATTATGAACCAATTACTACAAAGGGTTTAAAAAAGCTCTGATGTGGACCTGCTTTTCCTCCCAAAACTTTGTTTCATGGCGATTATGCAGGCAAAAACAAGAGAGTTGGGAAACAGTTGGCATCTCAGAAAATCCTTCAGCTGCTTCATCCGCATGTGAAAAACTGGGGGTCCTTATTGCGCATGTATGGGAGAGAGAGCAGTAAGATGGTTAAGCAGGTAAGTTATGTATGCTTTGCTCTGTAAACTTTCTGAATCGTTTTTTGTCCTCTTATTAAAGCTATGCAGTACTTAAATTCAATTCCTCATAATGATGCTATTTAAATGCCGTGGTTGCAAACTCCTTAACATTGAGACTGCTGTGTTGCAAAGACGCTGACATGATCCATAAGCTGAGTTTATGCAGCAAAGACCCATGAGGAAGTGCAAATGCTTACACTGAGCAATAATCTGGGAGCACATGCATACACCAACCCAGAAAGGGTTCCCCACATGAGCTGCTGCAACATTCCTGACATTCTTAAAGTTTTAGGCACAGTTTGGCAGGCTGAATAGATCAGGAGGAAGAGCCCTTACAGCATTACCTGTGTGAGAGAGAACTGGTGCAACTTGAGGGATAAGCAAACCACCACAAGGTGGCTTACAATAAAGCAGCTAAAACCACAAAACAATTGTGAAATAATATAATTAACAATAGATAAAAGCATATACAGGGGCTGGTGGGGCGGGGGCATTGTGCACATTACTTGGATCACGAGCCAAAAGATGTATTGTTAAAGAAACATGCTCCCACCCAAGAAGAGGGATGAAGGTAGAAAATAGGTGTCGGAACCATAGCTGTCAACGTTTTCCTTTTTTTAAGGGAAATTCCCTTATTCTGAATAGGATTCCTCGCAGCTATGGTCGGAACATATAGTGAAAATCAGCTTATAAATAAGTAGCTTCCTTTTAAAGATGCTGTACTGTCTCAGTTTTCATCAGGGATTGCAATAGGTCAAATTTAGTCACATTTTTCAGCAGAGCAAGTTAAACAAATATTATAAAAATAACCTTCCTCCTGAAGATGAAAATGGGAGCTCTTTCTTTAGTCTTTCTGATACTTTGTGATACAGGAGACGTCTGATAAAAGTGTGATAGAGCTTCAGCAGTATGCCAAAAAGAACAAGCCAAATCTGCACATCCTGAACAAGTTACAGGAAGAAATGAAGAAGTTGGCACAAGAAAGGGTAACTGCATGATTACTAATTTTAAAATTTGTTCAATTCTAAGAACATGCATGAAAGCTGTGTTTATATTTCTTGACAGTTTGACTTCATGCGCATTGCAGAAATTTAAAGTTAAATTTTGAAAGAACTAGTTTTTATTCTTCTGTGATGCTTTTTCGGTTAACAAATTCCTTACTGTTCAAACAAAGGTCACTATGGTTATCCAGGATGCAAACACTTTGAAATATCTCCTGTGTTGTGACTGTTTATAATCCTGCTGTGATGGCTTTCTTCATGACTGGTCTTTGTTCTTGCATGGAAATGGGGCTGTCACAGGGGGTTGGCCTGTCATTTTTCCATTATGGCCCATCAGTATAAACAACTTGCTTAGACTATTGCTTTTTCCTTTTCTAATCTTTGTAATTTAGTTCTCTGTTAGCAAGTATTCTGTAGGCATAGGTTCATTGTTGTTAAGCACTAAAAAAAAATCTTCCCCCACCAAATCAGAGGTTTAAGTGTGAAAGGGGAGTTGCCACATTTTCATCTGTGATCAATTTCAGTTGCCCTTTGCAAAAGGGAACATAGAGACTTGCACTAAAAAGTAGCCTTTGTGTCCTGCATTTTCACAATATAGCTGCTAATCTCTTCCTTCTAGTAATTAGGGTGCCATGGGGCTAAAAGTAGAAAATTCTGGTTTTAGATCTGTTGAAATGTTTTCAAAATGTTGACACCATCTATGCGTACAAGTTTGTTTATAATTATGGTTGGCTTCTTATATCTTTAAGGAGGAAACTCGAAAGAAACCCAAGATGACAATTGTCGAATCTGCTCAACCTGGCAGCGAGCCTCTGTGTACTGTTGATGTGTGATCAGAAAGAATAATTGGGGAGCAATAAAACATGTGAAGAAAGCTAATCCCCCCCAATTTAATTAATAATTGGTTTGCTTCAGAATGCAAAATAATGTAACAATCCAAGCTGCTTCAAATATGCATTGTTCTTTTGCATAATCAGGGCAATAGTACTGAACTTTTGAGGGGTTTTTTTAAAACCTCTGAGATATACATTTATACAAGACAGCAAAAATCTGTGTGGGTCAATGTATAGAAGTGGGCAGAAAAGCATGTTCACACAGGATAAGCTGAAGCAAGCACTCCCCCACCCCTTTTGAAACTATTATGCTGTCTTTGAATGGATATGTTTAAGGATTAATCACGAATGTCTATGTAAAGAGTGGAGTGAATGTATAATATAGGAATACAGCTGTACACACTCTCGTATGAACATGCTGACAACTGTTTTCTCAAAAAGAGCTTTGTTGCATTTCAGCACAAAATAATATGCACTGATAAGACACTTTTGACAACTACATTAAAGAAAAGTGGAAAGCAATGTTCCTTAATGCCATTAAGATTAGGCCAGTGCTGCTTGTTTTTGAATTTTGGCAGGCATAATTTTTTTAATATCCTGGTACAGTGGTCTTTAGACAGTAAGAATGGCACCTGCAGTGTTGAGCACCAGTGTGTCTCTGTTTTCAAAATTGCTGGCTATATTTACTTAAAATGTTTAAGAGAAAAAAAAGAAGATAGGGAAACATAGGAAAAACCATAATAGTTTACATAAAAGACAACTGGAAAGGAGTATATAGCTTCTAATTATTTTTACCATAATTAATTACAGGTGATTGGGAGAGGATGACTAAGCACCAGTGCTCTGCAGCCTGTTCTTATTCTGGTCTAGAGAGAGTCCTCCACAATTAATTAGAATGAACTATGAGAGTGAGCAGTGATGGTGCTTGGTAATTTGCATTTCCTTCTATTTTTAAGACCCCACTTGAAAACAGTTTGAAAATATGCTGACTTCTAACAATTAAAATAGAGATTTAATTGCATCTCCCTTTATGGTATATATATTTTTATTTAATGCAGCTAGATCTAATTGATACTTCAATCTCATGCACCCTATTACCTTTAAACAAACATGAAAAACCCTTTCCTTTGTGGATTGACTAATGGCAGTCATGAAAATCACTGGAAGCATTCTTCACTGGAAGAGTTTTAACATTTTCAAAAAAAGTTGTCACTGGCTTTGTTTTATTAAATGTTTAGCATTTGCAGAGTAGTTTCTGCATGGAAACTATTAGAATGTAAATCGGGGTACATCAGAGGACTTTAATAAGATCTTCTGCATAAGTTGTATTGAGTTGAAATAAAGAATATGAATATGCAAGTTGTTGTCTTTATATAGTTTCTTAAGCTGTCAATATCTGCTACAAGATACTGAATAGTCAACACATGGCCCTAAAAAAAACACAGTGTGGTCCAGAAATACTTCTACACTTAAGATTTACACTCCAGAAATACTACAGTTCAGGCCCTTTGCTAAGGTATCTCCAAGTACTGTGTATGTTACAGTGGATATCTGTTAAGTTATACTCCTTTTTAGATGTCTGCTGCAACAGTCACAAGAAAATAATGCAGCAGGAGACAATTAAATGGAAGTGGTAGTGGTTTGTTCCAAGACCTTTTAGGAGGAAGTAGGCCCAGGGTCCCACCTCACACTTGAGATGGGTTGTACAGGTTCCATGAAACGGCATTCTAGAGTGCCAGAAATTGAGTTGCCTGACCCAGTTATATGTCAAGTTTCATTGCTTCCCACTCGGAATGCAAATTTTCTACAGTTCTTAGTGCCATACATTCGTTGCACAACTCAGTTTGACATTGGGTATACATAGATTTGCCAGGTGGTAACTTAATTGGGTGGTCTAGTACTATATGCTAACTCATCCGCAGTGTTCCACCAAAGCTACCTTTCTGATCCTAATCCAATTCTCTTGCAAAATGCTTAAATGCTCCCTGCGTTGTACATTACCGCTTGGCACAGCCATTTTGATTCACCCAGTTTCTTGCCACCTGTTACCAAGAGCAGGCAGCCTGTGATGCATAAATTGGTAATACTGAAAACCTCTTGATGAAATGTTATTGGACATCTGTGTGCCCCAGCTGATAGGGTTTTGTCTTAAGAACCAGAGGAAGCAGACTACTTGAAAGCTCCCAGCTGGAAGCCTCTTATTGTAGTATGTTATGCTTACCCTTGGTAATTTTGGCAGTAGTGAGCCCATGCTAACATTGAGATATAGCCTTTATTCAAGCTTAAGTGTTTTCATTCATGTTTTTATGCAAAGAATCCTTGTGTTCTCTACAGAATGAATTTATTTTGGAACTTTATTCAGCACATCTGAAAATGGTCGCAATTTGTTTAATGAGTAGGACATAGTTCTAAATGCACTGCCTCTGTTCCTGCAGAAAATCTAGCTTTAGTCTTCATCTTTGTCCATCACTGATGTAGTACTTTAAAAAGTTGTTAAAAGTCAAATAGGCTTTCTTCTATGCCTTTTAAAGTAGGTGTTTACATCTGTGCATTCCTTGCTTTTTTTAAAAAAGAGCCTACTTCTGACTGCACTTTTTCAACAAATTTCTGCATATATATTTTCCAAAATCAGAATGTTTTGCAGGGTACCTGCAGCATATATATCCATAGATGCCTCATTCTTTTAAGTGTTTGCCACGCTGGCCATCTTGCTTTAGTCTTACCTCAGTCTGCCAAGATTTGAATTCTGCAAAAGGTGACCACTGCCCTTAAACATCCAGATGTGTCATTGTGAACCAAAGGCTAGTACAAATTATGCATTTTTCTTTAAAAAAAGTATTTGATGTGCTGTAGCCTCTTCGGCAAAATGTTCAGGCAAAGCGCAATAACTGCTGGAACAAACAATGTAACTACTGTTGTCACTGTGAAGTATTGTATTTCTGATGTTTACTATTTTGTTTGAAGTGTAACAGTCTTGCATTTGCACATGAGCATAAGCTGCTATGATAAGAGGGTAAATCATTACATTAATTTCAGCTTCTGCATGAGTACTTATGCAGCGTGATTTGACACCCAAAATTGTTTTGTAACTTGTGTGTTGATTTTTTTCTAGTTAGTCAACTGTAATGGTTTCAGTCCTAACAATGCCTAAAGCAAAAACTGTTTCAAGCCCTCTTTTTCTCTCAGTAAATCAATATCATTGTGGATGGTCTTCACTAATAGCTGTTCCATCCTCTAGGGATAGCTTTTGCTTTCCATATTACATATTAATATGTGCTTCTTCACAGATGTGATTATTATTTTTTGAAAGCTAAAAATTGGTTCTTATTTGAATGTTTGATACTGAGTGGAAATTTACTAACATAAGTGGGGGGAAAATACTACCCATTTAAAACCTCCAATTAAGCTTTATTAACTGTTTCAGCACTTGGCTTTCCAGCTGCTGGAAACAAGTATCTATCTATGCTGTTCTAATGGTTGTCACACTTAACAAAAGTATCCTTTCTAGCCCTAGTCTGTAATTCTTTGGTTCTGGTCAGAAAATGGAAATAGCTGTTGTAGAAATGATTCCAAATTAAGTCAGCCATTTGGAACAACTTGCAGTGATCAATTACAATATTGTATTTTAAAAGTTAATGTGACCAACTCAATGTTATTGGGTGCTGTATGGATTGTATGTTGAGTGCAGTTTTCTCAATGCCGGTGGTCAGTTGGTACAACTATGAAGCCTCTATTGTTGAGCCTGTGTGTTAGGTCTTTTAAGTACTTGTTTCCCCCACAAACATTAGTTTTGAGCAATAAAGTTTGATATTGCATAAGATGCTGTGAGTAACTGGTGCTGCAGGTCATTGTTTCATTAAATATATCTATAAATCATAACTTTCTCGATGGAAGTCATGGAACTGTCAGTATGTAACATTTTAAAGTAGGACTACCGGCTGACTAAATCTCTTGTGTTTTAGCCCATTAATATTGAATGTGCGAGTAAAAAAAATAACCAATAACTTATTTCATTTATTATATAGTAGCAATTTTAAGCACATACAAACTAGTCCTTGTTGATGTGGACAGAACTCCACATTAAAGCTGAATTGGCCTAGGCACACAGACATATCATAAGCAATGTAGCATTGCTGAGGCTCCAGAGTTGGGATGCTAGAAATCCCTGTCTCCCTCCTCATTGCAGATAATTCCTCTTCAGACCTGTGCGAACTGGATATTGTGGTACAGTATTTGCTTTTGCATTCACCTAATCTTAAAATAATATTTTGAACATTTATTGAGAAAGCTTGTTACACCATTGGCATATCTGGTTTTGTTAATCATTTACTATCTAAGGTAGCAGTATAGCTTCCCTAGTCATCCCTCACGTTTCTTGTTCCATGATTTAAAAACAAATCAGTTTGGCATAAAAACAAATTAAATATCGTATGTGTGTGTATATACACACATATACAAATATTCTGCCTCCTTTAAGCTTTTGACAACTCTAGAGCTACACAAATGATGCAACCCTTTACCTACTTACCTTGGAGTAAGTCCTATTAAACTTAATGGGACTTCTGAGCAGACACATACAAGATTGCATTGTACAAGTAGTTTTGATAATTGGCCACTATTCCAAAGTCCCAGCAACCAATGTTCCAATTTTCTTAAACAGGACAGCAGCTGTTTTGAATTTTAAGAATGAAAATAGGCACAGCCTAGCCAGTTGGCATAAATATCAATTGCTGGAACAGTCAGGGGGTTTCCTCTTCTTTAGGCAGGTTTGCATCGCCTTCTTCTGTAGAACCTGCTGTTTCCAATTTCAATTCTGGAATTTCAGTTGAGTTCTGGACTTCTTCAGAAGGCTTGTCACGTGAATGCTGAACTCTTTCGAAGAAGAACAGCAGCTCGCAATGCATAGTGTGAGGGAAGAGGTCCACGGCTATTGCTTTAACAGGACGAAAAGGGCTTCCTTTGACACGATTCGAAGGAGCTCGACAAAGGCTACCAAAGAGACCAGTATTAGTCTTACACATTTCTTTATAATTGATTGGGCCAGGAATGGGGTACCAGGCCTGGGAGCCAAATATCTTATCACTCCAGGCCACATTCCTCGCCAGCCCTCCTGGAATGTATGAGTTCAGAAACCTATGAAGCCCCATCCACTATGCTCACCCCTCCAAGTTGCCCAAAAAATGATGTGGCTGAAAAGGGAAAAGGCCATTTGCTCCGTTCAAAGTCCTTTTAAGTGCCAGGGCTGACTTTCCCATCTCACTTAAGTTAGAAATTTAACTAACCTCCTAATCCCATGGGTTATTAATCTGTTTGAAACATTGAAAATCAATGCTGATTGGGGCGGGGGGGAGAAGGGATCAACACTTTTAAAAAATTACTCCATCCCACCAGCACCATTGTAAACTCACTCCAGAAAGTTGTTCATGGCAGCTCGAGGATTGCAGGCTACATAAATAAGCTTCTTTATGTGTTCTGCTTTTCGGATTGCAACAATTACTTTGGAATCTGCAATGGTAACATTTTGACAAAAACTGAAATTAGATTCTTTACTGTGATAGCACCACCTGACATGAAGTAGCTCCACTCTGTTACAATTAGGGCTGGGCAGTATCTGGCTTTCTACATCACAATGTAGCACCAATTAAACATTGCAATATTTTGATATCATGATATCTGAAATAAGGCTGGAGCTATGTCATGATAATGTCCTGCCAACTGCTACTAAATATGAGTCTGTCTATAAAACTGATAGATTTTTACATACCTTTAACATTTTATTACAACATGTTATAGTATTACTTTACCAATAGCACATTTTCTCTAAAATTAAAGCTGTAGAAGTAATTAGTAGCATTCCCTAAAAATTTAATTACATTACTAAACAAGAAAAAAACAAATTCAGTGTCACACTTTTAGATGTTCAAATAATTCACTATTGAGTCTTAGTTGAATGTATACATCGCACAACACCAAATTGATTGTTAATTTTATTTTCTAAACCAGGCCAAAGCAGAAAGAATGGAATGGATAAATTTTAACTGTACAAAATACAAACAAAATTTGTATTTTCATTGCCTGGAAAAACTGCATTTCTTTTAGAAACCAAGCCAAACCAGAAAGAATGGATAAATCTTTTGCAAGGAAAATTTGCATTTTGGCGTTCTCTGGCTATAGAGATGCCTTTTGTATTTGCAGAACTCTGGGCAATTTCCCCCCATTTTCTTAAGTTTGAGTCCCCTAAAATAGGGGGCGTCTTATACAAGAGGGTGTGTTATACATGGGAAAGTACGGTATTTCTTGTTGCTGCAGGAGGCAGGAAAGAGCTGTCTGAGGTGGAGTTAGCAAGGGCTGCACACACAGGAAGAAGCATCGGCTTCCTGGTTTTTGCAGTATTGTGATATTTTAATGCCACAAACACACTATGCAATAAATTGCAAAGTCGTTTTTTAAAAAACTGTTATCACAATTTGATCTAAAACCTGATATCAGACAATATATCCATTTATAGCACAGCCCTAGTTACAATACAAACCATATTTCTCCACCCTGAACCCATCCATCATAACAAAGAATGGGGAATGGACCCAAGTGATCCATATTATTAAACTGTGGTGAATAGTTGACATCAGAAAAGTATGTAGTCTACATTGAAATTAGAAGAGGTTATGTGCCCCTCTGCTAGCCAGCAAAAAATAGGTTTATTTTTAACTAACAATATTCTTTGAAGTCATCAACCAATCTTTCCTGCCTGAAAGGAGCTAATGCTGTATTTCTGCACCCAAGGAATTCCACAGCTGATCTGCAGAACCAGAAACACTTTCCCTTTGTTTGATTCTCAGTGCTGATCTCACTGCCCACAAGCACATCTCCCCATTTTCTTTTGTCACTACTGCTCACCTCCATCTCTATTCAAACTATTCCACTAAAAGAAGGTCACAAAACAAAACTCACGCAGCCCTGCTCGAGGAGGATCTACAATTGTAATAGAATTCTGCAGGTCCAGGAAGTTAACAAGGTAAGGAACAAGATCTTCAGCCTTTCCACAGTGGAATTCAACATTATTCAGCTCTGGAGAGGGAAAACAAATCCAAAACAGTGTAACACATTTGCTTATTTACACATGCTCCATCAATATTTCCTTTAATAACTGATGCTTGCAACTGTCAGTTTTTCATGCCCATGCTGGTTGAAAAAATATTAATACAGTTCCTCTGAAGTAAATGTTTACCTCATCCACAATTAAGTGCAAAACAAGTCTCACTTAAAATACAGAGTTTCATTCGCTCCTCAATTAAAAATTTTTTTTGAACAAGTCAAAGTAACCTACTTCAGGATCAATATGCAGTTTCATGATAAAGGCTCTAAGGTAGGCAACTTGTTCAGGCACAGAGACCTCCATCAGAAACATGGCTAAGGCCATGATTGCAGGTGGTTGATTTAAACTACATGCATTGCTGCATGAACTATAGGGGCACTATCTACTGTTCCAAAATAGGATACACAGAAAGTCCAAAGTAATGGGGTTGGGAAAGCTCTGCCCATTCCCCTAGAGAAGTGTTGCTAGCCAGAATAAACTGTACAGTGCTGGCTAGATGGGTCAGTGGTCAGACTATTGATTTATTTAATAACCAAAAAATCTTAATATATTTTACAGTAAAAGTTTTAGGTCATAACTCACATCCTTCTGCTTTATTAACTGCTACCTATAGCCTGCATACTCTCACTAAATAACTGCAAGCAGCTTGGGTACACAGACAGTTACCAGACAGTCCCTGCAAAAAATTAGTGATTTTAATACCTTCATAACAGGGCCACTCTGTGTTAAGGTATTATTGTCACTCAGAAACAGGGCTGTCTTTAGCATATGTGCCACTGGGGTGCAAAGATCTGCCCAGCGCCCCCAAATTTAGTTTAGCCCCCAATTAACTTTTATTATGCCTTATATCACATGTCACGCAGGTGGCGCTGTGGGTTAAACCACAGAGCCTAGGACTTGCCGATCAGAAGGTCGGCGGTTTGAATCCCCGCGACGGGGTGAGCTCCTGTTGCTCGGTCCCAGTTCCTGCCAACCTAGCAGTTCGAAAGCACGTCAAAGTGCAAGTAGATAAGATAGGTACTGCTCGCGCGGGAAGGTAAACAGCGTTTCCGTGCGCTGCTCTGGTTCGCCAGAAGCGGCTTAGTCATGCTGGCCACATGACCCGGAAGCTGTACGCTGGCTCCCTCAGCCAATAAAGCGAGATGAGCCCCGCAATCCCAGAGTCGGCCACGACTGGACCTAATGGTCAGGGGTCCCTTTACCTTTACGTCACTATTACCATTTGATAAAATAGCACTCATGCTTGCGTGGCTCCAAAAGGGAGGTTTTTGTGTGTGTGTTTTTAACACACTTTTCTAAAGAAGACAACACATTGGAAGTCAGTGTAAAGACTCTACACATGCGCTTACAATCGTAGGGAGGTGTCTGAAAAATTAAACGGGTGGGCATTGTGTGCATGTGTGGGAGAGCCAGCTCAAGCAGCCTTTCATTGTGGGAGCAACCTTATTTCTAGAGGAGCTGGGAAGGCCCTTGCAAGAGCGCGTGTACGAGTTCTTCCAGAGCCTGGGTGCACTCCCATCGCTAGATAGGCGCATTCTCTTTCTGTCTGTCCCTCTTTCCTGTCACTCCCCCTCCTCCCAGCTTTGGTGAGCGAGACTTTCCAGAGAACTCCCTGCAGCAACAATAGCAGGCAGGCGGCACGAGATCAGTCGTGTCAAAGGTGCCACTGACCCCGCTGCCGCATAGCAGCTCAATACAGTACACTTAGGTGGCTTCAGTGGCGGGTGCCCGGCGCCCCCCCCCAAATTCAACGGCCAGGTGCCCCACACCCCTGGGTAAAGATGGCCCTGCTCAGAAACCAGACTATTTCTGCTGGTGTGTACCTGCTTGCTTTTGCGAACAAAGGTTTCAGAAAGTGATCTCTTGGGTCTCTACATAAGGGCAAGACTAACAGATAATGATGGAGGTCTTCCATCTGAGGTTGACCACAAATACAAGTCTGTGTATATTGTAGTGCCCATCCAAGACTGTAGTGGGCATCACTTGAAACACAGCTCAATAATGTTTTTTTTTAAGGAAGCTGGTCAGATTTCCTAAGGAGGTGCTAAAATGTTCTGCTCTCAAGAGGGGATACCAAGAGAAAACCTGGCGCTCCTAATTAGTTGCAGGTCCCTTCTGAATTTTATCCAGAAGAGCCAATCCCTTAGTTGACATTTATTCAAGGTCAACACAGAGCTCAGTTCTGGCAAATAATAATAGTCTAAAACATCTTGACAAGTAGTCAAGGAAAAAAGAAAATTGGGACAGAAGAGACTAGAAAGTGAATTGCTTAATAATGAGAGCCGTCTTTAAAGTCTGAGATCCCATATTATGCTTTCTTTTACCAACCATTAAGCTGAGCATTCACTTTGGCATCTTCAATAGCTTCTTGACAAAGTTCAATTCCAATAACTTTCTTCACTTTCTGTAGAACGAAAGCAATAATGTACAGTTTTACATTTTTAGTTGAGTACCAAGCAAAATAAATATGGATATTGCAACTTGAGGAATCTGTTAGGCTGCTTCAACCTTTTTGTGTGTTCCCACTCCACAGAGTTGAACTAGACTTGAAAACAGGTTTACAGAGGGGCTGTTTGCAGTTAATCTAAACCTCTCAAAACGAAAAAATAGTTACAAAAATAAGCAGAGCCAGTGCTTTTGGGGACCTAAGAGAGTGTCTCAGTTTTAAACCCGAGAGGATGACGAAAATATTAGATTTGCCAGGAAGCCAGGAAAAGGAGCGAGAGCAAAGGATTGGTTGTTCTGCCTTTACCCCGGCCCCAGCAACACAAAGAAAACTGCACCCCAAAATCTATCAAACCACATCATAAATGAGCCTAGGGGCCAAAAGGAAAAATACACTTGGGTGACCTTGTCAGGACCACAACACAGTTAAAACATTTCCCCTCATATCACAATACCAATAAACGCCCCCCCCCTCCAAGTCTGCAACTGACACCATCAGCAGTTTCCCTCCTGGAACTAATCATACCTTTTGGGGGTGGGATTAATGTCCCTTCTTGACCCTGATCCCCCACACAGCTGCTACGTTTAAAGGAAAAAATATATTAAGTACAATTACAGAGTGGTATCCAATTTATACTTGTGCAAGGATTTATACTTGCACAACAGAACCTTCCGCTCTCTCCACCTGGCCACATAAACCCTCCCCAAATCTGCTGCAGAAGGTTTGTGAAAACTCCCAGAACAAATTCAGGAGGCATTTGTTTCTAAATTTGTGCTAATGTAATGAGAGGTTTAGCACTACTTTGGATACAGGCCATACATTTAAAGTAACATCTATGCTGGCTCTTTGCAATAGTGGTCATAATTTCACTACTTATTTTGTTAGTTTTCAGTTTTCCAGAACACCGGGCATGCAGTTAGCTACCCACATGGCGAGACTACTTATTGGGTGACCTTTGTCCTTTGAATTAGTACTTTTAAGAGACAAAAGCAATACCAAAGGGCATATGTCCCATGAAATATGTTATTTCACCTTGGCAAGTGAAATACCAATTGATCCAGTTCCACAGCAAATATCCATCACAGTCGTCTCCTTGTTCACCTGGGTCCATTCCTGGATGACTGAATACAGAACCTCAGCAGCCTGTGTGTTTACCTACAGAATTTCAACATCGGTATAGGGTGTCAGTATTCAGCAGGCGGGTAGTATGTCAAAGGCTAAAATCTACTCTACAACATAACACTATATACTGCTCCTTACCCAAGTTTTAAATTTTCCTTTAAAAAAAGTAAAGTCAGGGCATGTTTAGCCATTACACTTGAAACCTCTGACTGTGCTGCTGTTAACACGCTGCTGTTTTAAAAAGTGTGCAAGTTGATGAAATGTAATTTGAAAAATACACCACTGCTGATTTCTTGATTCCTGAGTTTTTTGCAATGAACTCCAGATTTCACAAACGGCTTTTCGGATATTATAGAAGGACAATGAGGGGGTTCTACCACTCTCTCCCACGGTTTATGGAGTACCTCACTATAAGCAAAACTCAATCAACAAGAGATCTCAACTTCTACAAAACACTTAAGCCCAATGCTTTAAATGCTTACTTGGAAAAAAGCATGGGGAGAAATCCGGAACTTTAGCCCAAGAAGATCTTCATATATGTACTTGTCACCAGCAACATGCTCCAAGGTCAAATCTTCACGATTGGGTGATTTTCTTGCGGGAGAAGAGGGAGGGAGCAAGAAACAGTGTTTAAATCATTATCCTTCCTTTGCATCCTAATCTTCTAAAGTGCATTCAGATGCTATAGTATAGATAACCAATTCAAGCAAAAAAGCAGTAAAGATCTAGGGACTTTTTTGAATGCATTCATTCTGTATTTCTTTAGCAGGAACACACAGCTGGTCTTAATGGGATTTAGATATTGTCAGAGCTGCTTCCAGATCCTAGCTCACAGAGGATCACGCTAGCCAGCGGTCACTTGTAAAAGTCTTTTATTGAGTTACAGTTTCCATTCTCAAGCTGCTGCGCGCAACTCTACGTCTTAAGGGTTAGACCGGCGAAGCTCCGTCTGAGTCTCCGCCCCCTGTACACCAACTTAATACCCTAGCCTTACTCCACCTTTTCCGCCTGACTGTTCTTCTCTGGGTCCCTCTGCCCCCCGGGGTCTCTTCCTTCCGGGATTCTTCTGACGCTGACCCCCCGGACCCTTCTGTCTCCTTGCGTCGGGCTTTAGGACCTGGCTCCCTTTCCGGGCTGCTCACTGCGCCACCTTCCTGTGCATTTGAACTTGGCGCGCGCGCCCAACCTTCCACTTTCCGTCTGACCGTTTCTTCGCTCCCCGATGGAGGTGTGGCCACTCCTGACTCGTGCCCTCCCTCCTGTTGTGAGCCACCAGCGCTTGATACCTGGCGCCCTTCCTCTCCCCTGCTCTCTGTGGGTGACGCTGGTCCCGATTTCCCACTGCTCCCCTCTGAGCCCCCTCTGGCCCTTTCTTCCTGGGGTGTCCCCCTAGTCTCCCCCCTTGCCCTGGCCACTGGTGCTCCTTTCTGTGAATCGTCTGATTCACTGGAAAGACTCGGAGATCTCGGGTCGTCGTCATCACTCATTTTCTCTTCTGCCTCCTCCCCCTCACTCTCTGTTTCCTCCCTTGCCCTTGCCTCTGCTCCTGAACCCCTGACAGATATGCATGACTGAACTGACATGCCCTTTCTCTGTGTGATGTCATTATCCAAGAAAGCTACTCAAAGGAATGGCAAACACAAAACAGTAAGAGAAAAATACAAATAGTTACATTTCAGCATGCAAGGAATATCGACTCCCAGCACTAATGCTCATAAAAGCAATCAGCCGACAATACTCCCAACAATAATGCTCATAAAAATAATCACCAGGAACAACAGCTCCTTACTATGGGTGACTTTAATTTTTACTGAATTATGTTTGACCATATCCATTAGTGTTTAATGGATCCTGGGATATTGATTTATAGGCTGCTTAGTGTTTTGAATCTTACTATATTTTATGGCAGTTTTTATTGGGTATCATCCAACGCAAGTCATTATCAGGGTAGACCATTTAAATCAATCAAGCTAAGTAACTTAGGTCCATTGATTTAAATGGGTCTACTCTGAGAATTATTCGTATTGGATGTCAAGTTTCTTTTTTGAGATGCAACAATTACCTTTGACCTTCCTGCACAAAGTAGAGAGAAGTTATTCCACTGTCCTTTCCAGTGCCTTCTGTGAAGTACTTAGCCATAGAAGTTTGCAGTTCTGCAAGCTCTTTTTCATTTAGTTTCTAGACATTTCAAAAAAGAAAAAGAAAATTAATGATTAAGGTGCTTAATTTTACAAACTTCAAAGAAAAATGTTGCTGCAGATTACAGGTGTAGTGAAGAACTATGGGATAACAGCATATGTATGCTTGTACTTATTTTAATAGTGCACCCTCCATAACACATCTGAGGACACGTTTCCCTTTAAAACATTGTGTCACTGTAAGTTTCACAAAATACATTTCCAGAATCAGGAAAAACTTTAACCATTAAGAGTTTCTGAAATGCCTGCTTTACAAGCATGCACTTGTTTCCCCTTATTACATAAATCATATTCAGTACCTGTGGATTAAAATAAGCAATTGCCATGATGTGGCCATTTCTACTAGTGCGAACTGTTAGCTGTTTCCAGTGACCTTTGTAGGTTTCTGGGCTGTAGACACCATAGGATGTAGACCTGTAATTTTGAAATTCTTGGTTACTAAACTTGGATTTAAAAAAGCATAACCACATAATGATAAAATTATTTCTGCTAAGAAACTGCCACATTAAACTAGGAGACTGATCCTGAACATTATAATTTTTGGATGATGACATGTAAATATCTGCATTGCATCAATTTTCACAGTGATCTGTTCACATCACTTGACCAAAAATGGATTCTATGTACTAACTGCTGCAAATGTACACACACTGGAAGTTTCCCTCTTTCTCTCCTTGGAAAAACTAATGTCTATCAAAAGGCTCCCACTTAGCCTTCTTTGGTACAGTCCCTCAAGGAATTCACACAGGCAATGTTGAGCTTTGTGGTTAAGTTGGGCTTTATTTATCTATATAGTGCCATTAATGTATATGGCAAAGCACAAGAGGGCAGGTCCCTGCCTCAAAGGATGTCTGACAGAGTAGACAACAGCAGGAAGAGAAGGCAATGGAGACAGGGGTAAACAAGAGAAGAACAGGTATTTTTTTCATTTACATATACTAAAGGCTTAGTTCCAGTATAGCACAGGAACTAGTAGGTTGTGCCAAAGGTTTCACAGAAAAGGTAAATTTTATATAGGCAAGGTGTTTAGGATTCTATCATCCAGCCCAATGGACGACTCACCTTATGTAATCTTGAAAAGCCTTTGCTACCTTTTTGGTTACAGCAGGAATGTGAATGGTGTCAAATGGTTCCACAACAGCACATGTTCCACCCTTGTATTTGCCAAGGCGAAACCCCACCGTTTTGTCTTCTTGATTCGGGCCTATGCCGATCAAAAATTCACATTTGTTGCGGTACTCAGTCTAAATGTAAAGTAAGGGAAAATTTAGAATGCCTATCCAACTCCTCTAGAATCTGACATGCTTGCTACTTCCATCCATAAACATTTGTTGCAAATTACAGTATTAAAACAGGTTAGGCTAAATGAGTACTAAAATAATATATATGTTAATAAGCTATCCATTCCAGAATTTTATGCCCAGTACTGCAACATGCTACCGGATTAAAGGTGCCCACCCAAAAATTACACAGCTTAGGTTATGGACCATGGACAGTGCAGTAGTAAGGCTAACCCTGTCCTTCCATGCCTATGATTCATTTCCTCACAGTATCACACTTCATAAGCAGTTCCTGAGATGTATGACCTGTAATGGTGATGCTTTCACTCCTTCCAGGGAGCAACACAGGCCACCGCACTTCTCCTTCTGCATGAAAAGCCATGGTAGAAGAGCTCGGTTGTTGTTCCCTATGTCCCTGTAAAACAATTTGATCGTTCATGATAATCAGAGCAAAAATAATCAATGAACATTATGCCCTCCCCTGCACAAATACCTATGAATTTGACCATTGGTGTTTATAAAGCACCTGAAATTATTAAGATGCTGCACGAAGATCTAAAAATAGAACAGGCTCAGCCCTTTTGTCTTACTCTTACAATGTACGGCAGCATGTGATGAGAAGAGCATCTCAGAGCATTTTGGGACGAAATATAAAAACAAAAAAACCTTACACATTTCTAAAGTATTTATTGCAAATATGCAAACTGCAGTTTGAGAATAGAAGCCAGAAAATCCACATCTCAGCACAATGAAGCAGAAGAATACCTAGATTTATCAGCTTCATTCCCACTAATGCTGAGGCCAAAACCAGCTTGGTTTCTTGGACTGTGCTTGCGCTGTCTCAGAAAGCTTTCTGAATACATGCAAGTGAGACCTGCAACAAAGTGCTGCAGTGTGGAGTGTTCCTGTTCAGGGTACTCCTGCTTCCACTCTCCCAAGCAGGCAGGCAGGCAGCATTCTGTGCCTATTGAGCAGGCTCAGTTCTCAGTACACTGTTCTGGAGATGCACCCTTCATTTCCGTTCACACCCTCCCCAATTGCACTTTAGCAAGTCTTGGAACTGATATGTCCCCTCCTGTACATGGATGGTGCCATTTTGGCTACATGAGTGTTGGCATTCTAAACAGAAGAAATGGAGATAATCATAATATTTATTACAAACAGAAAAAAATACCTTGTCAGTTTCAGCAGCACTTGCTCACATTCTTCCTTCTTCCTTGCCAGCTGCTCCTCATATGGGATATTCCACAAAGGGGTCACCACATCTGCTATCTGCTTACTCAGAGGCTCTTCTTTGCCATTATTTGAAGCCAAACACTTTGCTGCTGTCTGCTCTTTCATCTCCTCTCCCTCCTCCTCTTCTCTTTTCCTCTTCTTTATGATGGGATCAGCCTTTGGTTTTGCAAGTTTCACAGTTAAGCTTCGGTTCTTCCACTGGGCCCCATGAAGGACCTTCATAGCTCTGTCCCTACCCTCCTCACTCTTAAAGGTGACAAATGCAAAAGTCTGTCTCGCAAACAGTTTTATCTTGTGTGGGATAAGGCCATATTTGGCAAGGAACTTCTTTACTTCGTTAAAACCAATATATTTGGGGAGGTTTTGAATTTCTACTTTATAGATCTCTGACGTAAACAAGCCATCTTTAATATATCTATATATGCTGGAAGTATCTGAAGTGTTCGCCGTGTTGTTTTTTTCTCCCACATCTTCCTTTGTTAGATTTTCAGTTGCACTCTCCGTTTCCACAAGAGGAACTGCAGTTTTTGTGTCAGTAAAGCACGCACCACTGATGTCTTCCATCATTCTGTAGAGAACAGTAACAGAATTAATTATTCTAGGGTAAAATGTGTTAAATGCTTAACCAAATCATGTTTAGTTAAGCCTCATCTGCAAAAATCAAGCCCACTAGGTTTTCCTCTGTGTAAAAATTGACAAAAGGGTGAAATTATCAAGTTCTAGATGAATTAAGTTTAGCCATAGCAGTTATTTCTTCTATAAGCTGTCAGTGTGCTTAAGGACAGGTCCCTGCCCTTAAGGATCTTACAATCTAAAATTTGGAGAAGAAAAAAAGGAAGAGAGAAGTGGAGGCAGAGGTACATAGGGAAAAACAATATTATTATTTTAGCTGCACATTTAGGTTTGGCTCCATGCTTACCTGCACAGCCAAGAATCAAATTTCAAGAAACTAAAGGGTGATGTACATATGGCAGCTTTAATCCACAGGTAACATGTTAAAGAGGGACGCGGGTGGCACTGTGGGTTAAACCACAGAGCCTAGGGCTTGCCGATCAGAAGGTCGGTGTCGGAACTCTGTTTGGCTGAGCCTTTGAAATCGCCTCCCGACGTGTTTAATGACCTCAAGCCTTTGATGAGGCTCCAAGGCACGTCCTCCCAGCAGAGAATCAAAACAGCACAGGGAAGGATGAGACAGTATGAGCTACATTTTTAAAGAGTTTATTTCTAAGCTACACAGACAGCTAAGAAATATACATCCTCTCTCTATGGAAGCAGAGAGCAACTGAACAAAGGAAACATGAAACCACTAACGTCACATCCCGTCTCCCTTTCCCGTGAGACTGCAAGTTCTCTGGAATGTAAACATAGTCCTGTGACTCCACACAGCTGCACAGTGAGAAACAGAAACTAATAGTCGGTGGTTCGAATCCCCACGACGGGGTGAGCTCCTGTTGCTCAGTTCCAGCTCCTGCCAACCTAGCAGTTCGAAAGCACGTCAAAGTGCTTCTCTGGCGGGAAGGTAAACGGCGTTTCCATGCACTGCTCTGGTTCACCAGAAGCGGCTTAGTCATGCTGGCCACATGGCCCGGAAGCTGTACGCCAGCTCCCTTGGCCTATAAAGCGAGAGTCGTCCGCGACTGGACCTAATGGTCAGGGGTCCCTTTACCTTTAACATGTTAAAAAGCAAGCCTTGCCATACCCAAGTGTGATCAGATCTCTTGGCTGCCTCATGGCAAGTTGGACTGATGAAATATAACCAGGTTACAGGTTAAAACACAAGAACAGTACTAGCAAAACTAGCACCAACTCTCACTGCACACTAACAACCCAGCAGTGTATTGGAGGATGGAGGAGACTGTCTAAGCAAAGGTTTGTTTTACAATAAGTTATAGCACCCATAGCAGCACTGAGGTATCTGCCATATTAATAATATGATTAATGTCTCAAAAGCAAGAGGCATCCCACTCCGACAGGCTGCAATCCTAAGCACACTCATCTAGAAGTGAACACAGTGGGGCTTACCTATGTGGAGTAGAGATTACAAGAGATGACCAACATGGTGCTGTACTACAATTTCCATTATCTCTGACTGTTGACTACACTGCCTGGACCTTGATAGGAACTGCGAGTTCAACAACACCTGGAGGGAACCTGATGGGTTAGAGCAGGTGTGGGGAACCATTGGCCTGCCTCCTTCCCTCCCTCCACTTGATGCTTTCCCTTCTGCCTCCTTCCTCCTTCCCTTCCTTTCCCCCCCTGCAACTCTTCCACTAGGGCCAACTGGGGAGAAGCCCTGCAGGGCTGTGCCATGGCCCACGCCTCTCTGTTGAGGCGCCCAGAGGAGCCACCCAGAGCAGCGGAGAAGTGGCCCAGGGAGGCCTGGACGGTGGAGAAGAGCGATTTTTGTGCGCCCACCCCCACCCCACCCCAGAACCTGTGCCCTTGGCAGGGGGCAACTTAACCAACCTCTAGGTACCCCCTGGACAGTGGCCAGAGACCCCTTCCAAGTCTATAGCACTGTTCATTCCATTAAATTTATACACCGCTTGTTTATGTTAGGTTTATACGCCTCGACAGAGTTTGCAAAAAGATAAAAGGGTAAAACTGAGGAAGATTTGCAACCCTATTTTAAAACATTCAAAAGTTTAAATACTAAAAGGCAGGCTAAGATTACGTCGGCTTTCTAAGCGCCTGGGTAGGCTTGTCTTAAACAAGGGTGGTAAGCACTAATACATCCCAGTAGTGATGTATGGAAATGAGAGCTGGACCATAAAGAAGGCTGATCGTGGAAGAATTGATACGTTTGAATTATGGTGCTGGAGGAGACTCTTGAGAGTCCCATGGACTGCAAGAAGATCAAACCTCTCCATTCTGAAGGAAATCAGCCGTGGGTGCTCACTGGAAGGACAGATCCTGAAGCTGAGGCTCCAATACTTTGGCCACCTCATGAGAAGAGAAGACTCCCTGGAGAAGACACTGATGTTGGGAAAGATTGAGGGCACAAGGAGAAGGGGACGACAGAGGACGACAGGAGGGCCTGGCGTGCTCTGGTCCATGGGGTCACGAAGAGTCGGACACGACTAAACAACAACAAGCACTAAGAAACGGTTCTCCCTCACCCTTGTCCCTGCTTTCATCCTCTCACAACAACCCTATAAGGTAGGTCAGCCTGAGAGAGTGAGGGGGGGCGGTTGTGTTTGAACACTGCAGCTGCCTAGTCCTAGCTCACCACTGACTTTTATGATGACGACGATTACGGAAAATGACCCCATGCTTTTTGGGGGGGGCGGGCCCTCCGCCAAACCACACCACCACCACAGGGGGAGCCACGCGCTGAGGCGATGCACCAACGCAGCAGGCGACCACCCTTAAAATAAAATGAAAACCTCCCCCCCCCTCCTTGCAACGAGGCCACTTATTCCCCCGCCCCCCCCCATTCGCAGAGGTGCGAACCCGCGTAGGCAGCCCCTCCGGCAGGCCAAGCCATTTTGTAAGAGCTTCCGCGCATCCCCCTCCCCACCTCGTTCCTCACATCTCTCGGCGGCGAAGGAGGAGGCCTCGTCAGGCAGCGGGACTCGGCCAAGCAGGGAGGGAGGGGGTGGAGGAAAGGGGCGGGGCGACGAAGGGCGCCGGTGACCTCACCGCCGCGCACGCGCGGGAGACCGTCCGTTTGAAAAAAAATACTTTGGTTCTGCCGTTTGAGGTTCGGTTCCTCCTCTCTGTGTGTCATCGACATTATTAATTATTGCTGTACTGTATAGCATTTTTTAATTATGATTATTATTAAAGTATTATTTTTATTGTTTGGTGTTTTGTTTTGTTTTCACTTTTTAGGTTCCGATTTCCCCTCTCCCTATCGTCATTATTACATCAAACAAAAACTTGTTTATTAATTATCGTCGTCATTACATTAAAAAGCAAAACTTATTATCTGACGAAGTGTGCATGCACACGAAAGCTCATATCTGAAACACGAAAGCTCATACCAATAACAAACTTAGCTGGTCTCTAAGGTGCTACTGGAAGGAATTTTTTTATTTTGTTTATTAAACTATGGTTTTTATGTTTTTAGGTTATATTATTTCCTTTCACGCCATCTTCCTCTTTTTGGATCGATTCCGCCTTGTCATTATTATTTATTATTACATTTAAAAAAAAACATTTTAAAAAAATAAAGCATGATTTTTATTTTTTTTATTCTGCCTTTCTTAAAAAAAAAAATATCGTAGGGGGCCGAGAGAATCCATGGGTAGCCTCATAAATGTGCTGAACACTTTTGTGGTCAATACATTGTATCCACCAATAAAATAAATAAAAACCTAAAATTAAAAAAGTTATAAGATGCCAGAGTCTTTTTCCCGCTCTTTCCCATCATGCAACATCTCACTCCTCCAACCGCCTCCGCCCCCCCCCCCACTTCGGATTCGCCACGCGCGGCGGCCATTTTAAGTAAAGGGGGCGGGAGCCGCCGAGTGTCTGTGGCGTGAGCCGCCCGAGACGTCCGGTTGTAGGGCGGGATATCAATTCCATAAAACATTCACAAATAGTTAAAATCAACAATAAGCTTTTAAAAAAAACCACAACTTGATTAAACACACGTCAGCTTTCTACATATCTGGGCAGACTTGCCTAAACAAGAACGTTTTTAGCAGGCACCGTCAATAGCATAGCGAAGGTGCGTTTTTCACTGGGTCGTGGCGCCCTCCCTGTGGAAAACCCAGATGTCAAGGAGAACTACATAACTTTTTTGATGTTTTCCTGAGGTTTTATGATTTGTTGGAAGCCGCCCAGAGTGGGCAGGGTATAAATAAAATAATAATTACTACGGAATGGGTTTTAATGTGGTACTTTTAGAACTTTGCTCATGTAGAGATAAACGTGCCTGCAGATTTGCCGCACTACTTAACTGGTTTTGCCCAATCTGCGAGGATTTATGACCAGCCTTTTTTCATAGATTTAAGTCTCTTGGTTGGGAGATCGAGTGGGCATTTGATTCACCTCTTATTAGGGGACGGGTCCTCCTCTGCCTTAGAAAAAGTGGCCTGTTTTGCTTTTAGAGCGACAATATTTTTTCCCCTTGTGGGGATGGTTAATGCCTTTAGAAGGCCGACCGCCAAGCTCTTATCTGACTCTTTTGTGTGTTTTTGTATTTTATATCTGATGAACTGATGATGAATTAATATGTTTAATTTCATAATGTGAAGATCTAAGGATGTTAATGTTTAGGTTATTATTTTTTAAGAACTGTGATTTGGAAAACCGTTAAAAGGACATGCAATGAAATTCAACCAAGGGGAAGCGAGGAAGTCACTTAACAATGTTAAAAAGTGTGATTTTTAATAAGGCTTTGTTTGTTTGTTTTATGTGTTTGTTTATAATGTTGTGAAAACCAATAAAAAAAGTCCGTCATCTCATTTGCCCGCGCGCCTCCCTTGCCTGCCTGGCGCGCTACACCGCCCGCTCCTTCTCTCTCTTATTGCAATGGCGCCACGAGCCCTCGTGAGGGAACTAAAGAGCCTCGTTTTCCCATCAGCCCCTGCGGCAACGGCGCGGGCTGCGGGAATGAGGGGAAAGAAGGGGGGGAAGGAGGGGGCGGGGAGCGCGAGCGACGGAGGAGGCGGAGCGGCAGCAGCAGCGGCGGCGCTGAAGGAGCGTGCGAGGCAGAAAGTGTAGGCCGGGAGGCGGGCGCACGATCGGTCGGTCGAACGGGACGGGGCGAAAAGCCAGGCAGGGAAAGGTCGCGGCGGGAAACGGGGAGAGAGAAAAGCAGCGGCTACATTTGACGAGAGACGCGCCTCACTCGAGCCTGAGGAAAGAGACGACGCCACGCCAGCCCCCGCCATGGCCGAGACGAAGGTGAGAGAGTCGCGAGGGCTGACGAAAAGCGCCGGCGAGCCTCGAAATCGAGAGCGGGGAGCAGTCAAAGGAGGTCCCGGGGGCGGGGGGGGGTTGGAGAGAGAGAAAGCCTGAGACTAGGCCGCCCTCTTGACTCATCCCCCCTCCCCCACCTCAGGTTTATTAATCCGTTGACGCCCCTTATTTCTCCGCCCGCTTTCCACGGGCTGCCTCAGCGCTGCCTGGCAGCCGTTTCTCTCTCCCCGCCACCCCCCCCCCGTCTTAACAAGGCCTGGGCCCTCCTATCCTCCAAGGCGCGCAGGCAGGGCCGCCGCCGCAGCAACAGCAACGTGCTGCGCGCGATTCGCGCTTGCTGGGACGTGGCGTTCCCTTGGGTTTGTAATAATTTCTGTAAACCCCCTCCCCTCTTTTTTTGGGGGGAGTGGGGGTGTACTGGGCCCTTCTCTGTCTCCAGCCCCGGGGTGTGTGGGTGTGCTGAGATCTTCCCCCCCCCCGCCGCCGCCTGCTGGAGGAGGAGGAGGCCGCCCCACGTGCTCCGCTGCCCATCCCCGCTTCTCCTTCCGAGATGCCCGGTTTTGTCACAGCGATGTCCTCTCGTTAGTATTTCCATTTTTAAAATATGGGGGGAGAATACCCGCATTGAAAGCGCGCTTAGGGTCACAAGGCTTCAAACAGGATGCAGAAGGTGGCTGCTGCTGCTGCTGCTTGCCATTCTTACCAAGTATTTCGAGGGATGCAATCCTGTGCACCCGCTTGGCTGGAGGAAGAGGCAGTTGAATCCATTAAGGCCGCAGGCCTTCACAACATAAAAGGGGCTGAGGATTTGCTCGTTTATATATTTGGCATGATAGAAGAAATGGGATGGGTAGGAAAACAAAACTAAAGAGTGGGAGGGCACAATTAAAAATTTGACAATTGGCCCAGAAGATAAAATAGCTACAGTGGTACCTCGGGTTAAGTACTTAATTCGTTCCGGAGGTCCGTTCTTAACCTGAAACTGTTCTTAACCTGAAGCACCACTTTAGCTAATGGGGCCTCCTGCTTCTGCTGCGCCAACGGAGCACGATTTCTGTTCTCATCCTGAAGCAAAGCTCTTAACCTGAAGCACTATTTCTGGGTTAGCGGAGTCTGTAACCTGAAGTGTATGTAACCTGAAGCGTATGTAACCTGAGGTACCACTGTACTAAGCACAGTAAAACCGCTTTACATCCCACAATACCAGTTTTAATTTAGTAACTTTGTTGTGCACACTCTACAAAGAGGAAACTGTTTAAAATAGTGATATTTGTATTTCCTTGATTTGGGTTCTACCCCCCATCTTTTGATCACCAAGTAAAAACGTTGGGGCTGCTGTACCTTCTCTGATGCCTCACATTGCTAATAGACACATTAACTTAACACCACAATCCCCTGTCCTTGGGAGGATCCTCCTGTCCTTGGTATCCTAGTTGTTCTATATTGCCTTTTTATATGTAAGAACAAGGTGGTAAGAACAAGCAGGCGCCATTCAGATTAAACAGCAGCTCCTAGGTCAACAGCAGGTAAGTTAAAAATTGGCATTACTGCCCAGCCAAAGTTTCAGAAAATAAATGGTTTTCATCAAGCACTAGAATTGTATAAATGTAGGTGTATTCAGAGGGAGCTGGTTTCACACAGAGGGTGCTACTGTTGAAAAAGACCGACCTTCTAATCACAGTTTAAAGAGCCTCTGTAGACAGTGACATGACTAGGAGGGCCTCCTCATCCAAGAATCTTAGTGACCAGTCAGGTTGATTTTCAGAAAGGTGCTCCTTCAGGTAAGTTAGTCTCAGGTTTTTTATGGCTTTGTAGGTAAAGTCCAAAGCATTAAACCTGTTCTAGTTGCATATTAGCAGCCACTGCCACACTTTTAAGCAGGCATAGGCAAACGCAGCCCTCCAGATGTTTTGGGACTACAACTCTCCTCATCCCTAGCTAACAGGACCAGTGATCAGGGATGATGGGAGTTGTAGCCCCAAAACATCTGGAGGGCCGAGTCTGCCTATGCCTGCTTTTAAGAGTGGTATAGTATATACATGGTAGGATGTCTCAGTCAGCATCCCAGCCACTGAATTTTGCTCTAGCTGCAGCTTCCAGACCAACCCTAAGAACAGCCCCACTTAAGAGCACATTGCAGTAATCCACTCTTGGTTGATGCATGGGGCATAGTAGCAAGGCTGTCCTGGTTCATAAATGATAATAGCTAGTGCACTAGCCAAAGCTGGGGGGGGGAGTATTCCTAGCCATTGTGCCCACCAGGCCCTTCAGTTCAAAGCTGACAAAACATCCCATTGTTACACACTTACTCCTTTGGAAGAGTGCAGCCCTATTCAGGGTAGGCCAGCATCCCAGTTCTCAGACTTGGGAACCACCTGCCCACAGGACTTCTGCCTTGTCCAGATTCAGTTTTAGACCATCACTGCATTGAGGCGCTGGTTCTGGACTTGTATGGCCTCACCTGACTCAGATGTTACTGAGAAATAGAGGCAACTGTCATCAGCTTATTGATGACAATATGCTCCAATTTCCTAATTACTATTTCAAGCAACGTCATATAAGTAAACAGCATTGGAGAGAAGATTGCACCCTGCAGACCCCATAACATAATTATCAGGAGGCCAAGTCACTCAGTGCAACTCTGAAACTGGTCTTTTGAGTAGGAAAAAACCAATGAAAAACAATACCACCAGTTCTTAACACTGAGCTAATCCATGAGCATCGCATTGTCATTGGTATCAAAAGGCATGTGGTTGAGTGAGCCATGTCCTCAGCCCTTAAAGTTGATGGCTTCCAAAGAGGGAAAAGCTCCATTTCTTTGTGGTGAGGATGAAAGTGTGGGCTGCAAGCCACCTCTAACAAGCAGACTAGAGGAGGGGTGGAGCCCCCTCCACCAGCTCACTCATCAGCATGGAATTCCTGCTTGCCTAGGCTGGCTGATGTATATACTTGTTACATTAATTAGTAAAATGAATGCAACTATCACTTCCAGACCAAAATAGAAAAATTGGATTAAATGGCTAAGATGTGCAAGTTCATAAGATATTGCATTTTTATTATTGGGGGTCTTTTAGAATTAAGTATCACAAGCCTCTTAGCAATTTTGTTTTAAGGTTCGTCATGTGACTTTTTCCACAGGACACACATGAGGAGCATGACTTAGCACCTGACAACGTAGATGATTCTAACCATGACCCTCAGTTTGAGCCCATAGTTTCTCTTCCTGAGCAAGAGATCAAAACTCTTGAAGAAGATGAGGAAGAACTCTTTAAGATGTAAGTACAATAAGAATGGTGCGTCAGCGACTTCCAAACTGGGTTGGGGCATATTAATATGCTGATGGGTTGCAGCATGTGCACATTGGCAAAGGCATACATGTTGCCTAGGGCAGTGCCTTTATTAGGCCACCAAAATGTCAGAAAATAGTGTCCAAGCTTTGGGATATGGGATTTTTTCTTAAGAGTCAGTACAACTGTCCTTTTCTAGATGGCAATGTAAATCTTCGAATGGCCAAACTTTTAACATGTGGTTGTCTGTATTCAACAACTTAAGGCTTTATTCTCAGTGAGATAGAAGGGCTTTTTTTCTTTTTTACTGAACAGTTATCCACTTACCTAGAAACGAGGAGTGCAAAGTTGGTTTCCTTTTCTGTGACAGAAACTAGTGTCTATCATATAAGGAATGTCAATTTTCAGACCAGTTAGTTCATTGAATTTATCAATCACATCCCACAACAGAATGCCCCAAAGCAACTTGAAAGTGTAAAATAAAGCAATACTATAAAAATACATACACATATGGACTATCTTGTTCCAACAGCTATTTCTTCCCAATGTACCTATAGTAAACTAGAAGCCTAGTACTACTGTCTTTAGTAAGGATTAGTATGTCCTCCACAACAACTTGTGTGTGAGTGTTTTGAGAGAAAATATTGGGGAAACAAATGGTCTAGGGGAGCGAAGCATATCAAATGTACATTCATATGGAGCATTAATGTTAAGAGATCGCAGTTCTGTGAAAAATCTGGTAAAAAGTTCCATGCAAGCTATGCCTTGTTTTCATTTTGTGTCTCCCTCCCCAAAAGGCGAGCAAAACTCTTCCGCTTTGCATCGGAAAACGATCTTCCCGAATGGAAAGAACGAGGCACTGGTGATGTAAAGCTTCTGAAGCACAAAGAGAAGGGGACCATTCGTCTCTTGATGAGGAGAGATAAAACCCTAAAAATCTGTGCAAATCATTACAGTATGTGATTTGGTACACTGCACTTGTTGTACAGTACTACTTATTTTGCTGTAATAGCAAGAAAGGAAATTAATAATAGGGACAGAAGGTGGTGAAGGTCCTTCTGGTTCTGGTTACTAAGGAAGCGTTATACCCAAGGCCACTTGCACAGCGAGCTTCTGCCTGCATCATCAGTTGGTGTGATGTTGGAGGTTAAAAGGATCAAGAAGCTATGTAGTTTACCTTCTCTTAGCAAATGTCCTTCAGATACAACCTCCAAATATAATCCAGTATGCCACAAGCAGACATGAGATATTTCACAAAGGCCTGCAAATAGCTTTAAGCAAGGCAGGGGAACCTTGCTGTGCAAATGAAGAAAACTACGCAGGGCCCAGTCACTTATAGTCTAACCTTCTTTAGTTCAAAAATGGCAGTGAAACCTTCACATATTATTTTGAAATAATAGCATGAAAAACATGCCACACTACGTAGTAGGGTTTCAGAAAACTAGTCCTAAAGCGTAGCGTCAAGATTCTGGAATGCAGTCTTAATTGTGAATAAAATCTAGTCATGCATTCATTGATAAATAGGCTAGACTAGAACTTAAATGCATTTTTAACAATCTTTTATGTTTCCGATAAGGTAAATATCTTCAGGCAGACAGTTAAGGAGGCTGTGTTGTTTGCTCTAGTACTTCCTGTGCCCAGCTACTTTTCTCTCTCTCTTCCTGCCCCTGCTTTTCCTTTCTAGTTACACCTGTAATGGAGCTGAAGCCCAATGCAGGAAGTGACAGGGCATGGGTGTGGAATACACATGCTGATTTCGCAGATGAGAGTCCTAAGCCAGAACTTCTGGCAATTCGGTTTTTAAATGCAGAAAGTAAGTTAAAAGCAACATAACTTTGATCACTTAAAATTGCTGTGTGTGTATGTATGAAGACATGTGAAGTGGGTGTAAACTGAATGTTTTGTATTTCATTGCATCACATTTGTCTGTAATGAAACAGGCTACCCTCTGTGCCAGTACTCTGTTAATACTTCAACAGGGTTGACAGGCCTAAAGAGCACGTCTCATGACTTCTATAAAGTAGGCAGTCTGGGCTATTTCAGAAAAATTTTATAGGTCACATGCAAATTGTGGGCAAGCAAATTAAATATACTGGATTTACTTTTTGGATCGATAGGATTTTAGAGGTCCTTAAATCCTTGCCTCTTAACAAGTGGAAGCAAAGGTTATTGTGTTCTGCTCTCATGTGTCCTGGCCAAATGGAGCTGTTATTTCTATAAAAAGTATTGACTTGCTACCATAGCAACCTTCAGGTTCTGTGTTGATACCTTCTTGTGGTGTGCCAGTGAGGAGCATAGTTAGCTGTTGCATGTAGGCCATTTAGTAAACCCATTGAAATGGAGCACAACCTTACGTTCTGTGCATAGTGTGAAATTGGCTTTATGGACTTGAAGTTGGGATGGGGGGGGGAGCAAATCAGACACAGGCCTTTGTTTCTTGTTTTCTGGCCTATGGAATAAAAATGCCTTTTTGATTAATGACATTTTTCATTATCTAGCATTGAGCAACAGTGACCTCAAGTGGTCATTTTTGCTAATGTATTGTAGTGTAACGGTAAACCACCTGACAGCTTCCATTGTATGATAGTTATGAAAGTATTGATATGCTATCTTTATCAGAAATCCTTTTTGCTAATATTAACTCTATTAAAGAAAAATCTGGCAGTGATCTAGTTAATCATTAGGTCTTATGATACAAATCTCCACTGCACCTACTTGTCCAGCAAAACATCAAAGTGTGAAATTTACAGTGAAATGTATAAACAGTTCTAGAAACTCAGATACTCTGTAGACTGCATATGTACATGTGGCTTTACTAGATAGTAGGTATTGTCAAGACCAGAGCTTTCCAAACTGTCTCGATACGTTAGTGTGTCAGCTGCAGTATGTAGGTGTGTCACACAAACATTCTCCATGCTCCTCCTGGGGCAGGAAATGGGTAAGTTTAACATCTGGTTTGCTAGTAAAACTGAATTACTGTGTCCCAAAATGATGCATATCTAAAAAGTGTCTTGCCAACATCAAAAGTTTGGAAAGCTCTGGTCTTGATACAAAGAAGATGAGTGTTCATGCAATCTGAGGTACCAGAGAAAAAACGTTACTTTAAATTGTGTCTAGATCCATTGCAGTATATTTTATGATACTTTGTTTCCTTAAAACAGATGCACAGAAATTCAAGGCAAAATTTGAAGAATGTAGAAATGAGGTTGACAAGGGAAAGAAAGGTAATAATTTTTTTTCTTCTGATGAAGGAACACTACAGTCAGGAGACTGAAAAGGAATTCTGCAAAAGCCCCTGAACTATCAGAATAACTGGCATTTTATATATGTACTATATGCCAAGTTTTAGACCCTCTTTTAGATCCTCATTTACTTAAGCAGAAATGTAAGAGTTAAAGAGGCTTGCACTGGGGTGGTCTTTCCTTTTTCCATAATCTTCAGCAACATGCATCTCTGAACCTTTCAGCGTTACTGTCTCGTCTTGCTGTTTACCTAATTTTAGAATTTCTTCATCATACCCCACAGCTTAGCAATGTCAGAAAGTGACATGCTATCTCGTTTTTGCATGTCAGAGCAACTGACTTTCAGACACTTAAGAAATCCTCCTTATGAAACGGTAGGCAGGCAGTTGATTGTACAAAATAAAGTTTAGTTAACTTTATTCAAATCAATTTATTGCAAAAGAGAGAAGCAAATTGTGCATTGTTAGCACTCTCTTAAATGCTGTTTTGAGGATAGACAATCTGGCTTTCAGGTAAGGTACTAAAATTATGGCAGTTGCAAGAAACAGTACGTAATCTTGGAGAACAATTGGAAATATAAACAAGATACATGGTCTTTGCATAAGAAGTCCAGCACACATTGTTTACATATCCAGTGATGACTAACTCATTTGCCATATTGACTGTGTTCACAACAAGCAAAGAGCCTGGACTTAATAAATTGTACTTGTATGAGCTCTGTGCTAGTGCATTCAACCTTAATCTGTTTCACATGCATGGTTAAACAAATCAAGCCCTACTACTGGCAGACACCAGTCTTCTCCCCCAGGCTCTAGATGATATTGGAGTGTGTGAGAAGGGACACACGAAAGAAGGTGGTTCCTAAGGTACCCAGGTCCCAAGTCATTAAGGGTTTTCAGGCTTGAATTGAACCCAGAAACCAATTAGCAGCCAGTATAAATCGCTGTGGGACGTGGGTGGCGCTGTGGGTTTAAAACACAGAGCCTAGGACTTGCTGATCAGAAGGTCGGCGGTTCGAATCCCCGCGACAGGGTGAGCACTCGTTGCTCGGTCCCTGCTCCTGCCCACCTAGCAGTTCGAAAGCACATCAAAGTGCAAGTAGATAAATAGGTACCACTCCAGCGGGAAGGTAAACGGCGTTTCCGTGTGCTGCTCTGGTTTGCCAGAAGCGGCTTAGTCATGCTGGTCACATGGCCCGGAAGCTGTATGCTGGCTCCCTTGGCCAGTAAAGTGAGAATCGTCCGCGACTGGACCTAATGGTCAGGGGTCCCTTTACCTTTACCTTTATAAATCGCTGAGAACTGACAAGATTTTCATAAGGAGAAACAAACCACAAGCCTGGTTTGGACACAGTTCTGAATTATTCCTTTTCTAGTTTGTTTAACTGTTCATGTCAGGGGAGGAATGAAGTGGGAGCAGAACTGTGCACCAGCACGCATCGTGTACACAGTATGATTTATTAAGCCAAGGTTATTCACTTATTGTTGCATGTAACACAGCCAGTGACTGCTAAAGAATTTTCTGTTAACATCTGTATGTAAGAAAATTAACTTGCTATAGTGTACATAGGACCAAGAGACATGGACAGCGAGGGAGCTACTAAAGTGACCTGCAACACCTGTGCCATGTCTGTCTTCATGCCTGAGAATGTGGAAAACTACACCTGCAAGGAGTGCAAGCGGATTCCCTTGCTGAAAGAGAAGATAGAGCAACTTGAGACCCGCCTAGCCACACTTCAAGCTACTGGGCAAGGTGAGGAATTTCTCATTAGAGCAGACTGGACTCTCTTGGAACAGCAAGACAGGTGGGGTGCCCCTAGGAAGGAGGAAGATTGCCCATTGCAGGAAACGAATGCCTGGAGGAACATGACACACAGAAGCAGTACTGTCAGGAACCATGCTTTGACACTGGAGCTGCAAAATCAATTCCATGCCCTCAACTTGGACACCAGTTCTGGGCTAGAGGAGCAAGTACAGTAGTTGCAGACCTCAGAATACATAGAAGTGGTGGTGGAAGGTGCAGTGTGCAGAACAATTCCTGTCACTCCCCAGAGATGGAAGAGAAGTGTGTTGGTGGTAGGTGACTTCCTTCTGAGGGGGACAGAGGCAGCAGTGTGCAGGTTTAACAGGATGTATTGGGTGGTGAACTGTCTTCAGGTGCAACAATTCACTATGTGACAGAGAGGTTGCTAAGTTTTATAAAGCCCACTGACGATGACAACCCCTTCTGATTCATGGGTACAAATGATACTGCTAGATGTAGTCTTCAGCATAATAGCAAGGGACGTTGACACTCTGGGCAGGAAGCTGAAGGGCCTTGGGGCACAGGTGGTATTTTCATCACTCTTTCCTGTTGAAGATTGGGGCACAGGAAGAGGAAAATGCTGGAAGTAAAGTACTGGTGGCACAGGTGATGTCAGGAAAGGTGTAGCTTCTTGGACCACGTTCTCTGCTCCTTTGAGGAAAGGATGTCTGGCAAGAGATGGGTTGTACCCCATGGCAGTTGGCAAGAGTGCTTTTGCTAAGAGACTTATGAACCTGATCAGGAAAGCTTTAAATTAAACCCTAAGAAAGAGGGAGAGGACATTGCAGACTACAAGGAGACACCTGGTACTGAGGATAACAGCTTCACTTGAGCACAAGAAATGGAGGTGTTGCTCCAGAAACCTGCTGAAGGGCAGGAAACTGCAAGAAGGTGGAAGAAGCAACAAGAGGATCATCTCTCTTGGACCTGTTACTTACCAGGAAGAGATCGACAAATGATACAGAGGCAAGAGAAATCTGAGTGTAGTCAGACATGTGCTCTGGACTTTTAAGAAGGCTGATCTCAAAAAGCTTAAGGAATACTCAAAGAGAAGAAATACTCAAAGAGAAGGAAGCCCAAGAAGAAAGAGTTTTTTTAAAAGTGGAATATTGAAGATACAAAGGCAGACCATTCCAACAAGAAAAGTGGGAAACTTCTAAAGAAACTGATGTAGCTGCATAAGGTGCTTACAGATGAGCTGAGATTTAAGAAAGACATATATAAGAAATGGAAGAAAGGGGCAATCACAAAGGAGACTAGCCAACAGTTGCAGGGAGAAGGTCAGGTGGGCCAAAGCTCAGGTTTGCAAGAGAGGTTAAAAATAATAAAGTAAGTTTATTTGGCTATGTTTCAAAGCAAGAAGAACAAGAAGCAAGTAAGGGGGTCCTCTGCATGGAGAAGACTGAGAAATTTTATTGGGTGACAGAGAAGGCAGAACTGTGCAACACCTACTTTGCCTCTGTCTTCACCCAAAAGAAAAGCAGTGCCCCACCTGGTGATAACAGAATAATAAATGTTGCAAGGAGGGAGCTGCAACCCACGATAGGAAAAGAGGTGGCATGGGAACAGCTAGTTACTTTAAATGAATCCAAATCTCCCAAGGCAAGTATAGTGTCCTGATCAAAGGAAGTATTCATCCTGCTCTGTTGGTCTTGCCTTGGTCAGAAGACATCTGGAGTACCAAGTCCAGTTCTGGGCACCACAATGTAATAAGGTTATTGACAAGCAGAGGAGGGCAACCAAGATGATCAGGAGTCTGGAAACCAAGTCTTATGAGAAATGGTTGAGAGAATTGGGTATGTTTAGCTTTGACAAGAGGAGACTGAGAGGAGTTATGATTGCCATCTTCAAATATCTGTCACATGGAAGAGGGAACAAGCTTGTTTTCTCCTGCTCCGGAGGCTAGGATCCGAACCAATGGATTCAAGTTACAAGAGGAAATTCCAATAAAATAAAAGAAGAAAATTCTGACAGTAAGAGCTATTTGAAAGTGGAACAGACTCCAATGAGAATTGATGGACTCTTCTTCCTTGGAGGTTGTTTTAGCAGAGGCTTGATGGCCTTCTGTTATGTATGATCTCGTTGAGATTCCTGCATCGCAGGGGATTGGAGCAGGTGGCCCTTTGGATCCCTCCCAACTAAATTCTATGATTGCATAAAAGTAGAAAAATACAAAACATTTCCTAAATATATAAGCCAGAAAAAGGATGACCAACTAATGCATTCTAGAATTCTATATAATTAAGGAATGTGTTATAGATAGCACCTTTTCCCTTGGCCAGGCATGTAATTATTCTAGTACATAACAAATTTATTGAAATTTAAGCACAGCTCAAAGCCTGAGGTTTCTTAAAAACAGTGACTTCTACGTTCAGAGTATTTCCAAGAAATATGTTTCTCAACCAGTAGTTTCACCACCCCTAGGCAGGATAATAGCTTTTCGCGTTAAAAACAGAGACATAGCAAATTACATCCCTAGCTACAGTAGCTGAAAGAGAGAATGGGGACCTGTATGTTTGAAGCAGTTCCCATTTCCAGCATCCTATAAGCTTTTCTGACAAGCTAGTGGTATTTTTTGAGTTGTGCTAAAGCCATCAGCCATCCAAGTCACACTAAGATCATCCAGGGTATCGTGGGTCTTTCATATGATAACCTTGGCATGGCATGTTTCATGTGAAGTGAAAGACTTGTACAGCATCCTTTGTCTTAGGGGAATTCCATCGTGCTGCTCTTCGCTTGCCTGTACATGATTTCTGCTTTTCAAATGGCCCTCAGTGTTTGTGCCTTGTTTCTGTTGTGAGAGGGGAAGCAAAGGAATCTCTTCTCAGTTACCGTCATACCGTGGTTCCTGAAACATTTGTACAACTTGGTACTTGTACATTTTGGCTCCCGAATGCCGTAAACCTGAAAGTAAGTGTTGCGGTTTGCAAACGTTTTTGGAAGCCAAACGTCCGACACAACTTCCAGTTGAGTGCAGCCAATCTGAAGCCACACCTTGGTTTGCAAATGTTTTCAGAAGTCGAATGGACTTCCGGAACGCATTACGTTTGACAACCAAGGTACGACTGTACTTACTGTTTCCTCCATTTGATACAAGTGGGGCTTACTATACTCTTCTAAAGAAAAAGTTTTCAGTGCTTGATCTCAGTTCCTTACGCATCACTCACTAGTCAAACTGGACGTTCATTATCAAACATGGTGTTCTTATGACCAGGGAACTCTCAGCCACAATTGACAGGATTACTCTCTGTCACCTTGTTGGATGTCTCTGCCCTGCAAGCAGCTGATAAGGAAATGAAGTTGTGATATGAGTGAATGCAGCCTGATGGCAGATAACCAATAAGTAGCTCAGTATCTACAATCAAGGAGAGGTTGAATTTTTGCAACTTCCTCTTAAGAACCTAGATGGAGATTCGGGATAGACAAAAAGAAGTACTTCGCAAAACACACACAGTGGTACCTTGGTTTAAGAACAGCTTATCTTATGAACAACTTGGATTAAGAACGCTGCAAACCCAGAAGTAGGTTTTTTGGTTTGTGAACTTTGCCTTGGAAGCAGAACGTGTTTTACTTCCTGTTGAGTGTAAATTGAGCCCCCTGCTGCTGTGGGAAAGCACGCCTTGGTTTAAGAACGCTTGGTTTAAGAACGGGCATCCGGAAGTTTGTAAACTAAGGTGCCACTGTATAGGTACGGAATTTATTACCACAATATGTGATAATCACCACCATCTCAGATGCCTTTAGAAGAGGATCAGGCAGTCATAGAGGATGCTCTCAATGGCTGTTAGTCATAATGGGGGAGTTACGCAGGAGTGTTTTTGCATTTGTGTCCTGCTTGTGAGCCTCTCAGAAGTATCTGGTTGGCCTAACAGGATGCTAGACTAGATAGACCTTTGGTCTAATTGCACAGGGCTCTTAACATCAAGTGTTCAGGGCCATGATTAACAGGTAAGCAATCTTCATTTTTATGCTTAATAGCAGGCTCACTCTGTGCCTGACTGCAATATTCAGTCACGGTGCTTTTTAGGCCTGCTAGAGTAATCCAGGATGTTGTGAACACTTTCCCTACTTGTGGAAGTCCGTTTCAATTGATCTTGGTACAGATGACCCTTTTTGTCCTTTCCAATCCACAATTCTATGATTCCAGGTGCTTCATTATTACTGATGAATTTGAGGTATAGAAAAGTTACAAGTTTTAAAAATCTTGACGTTGGGATTTTTTAAGAGAGACTCTTAGTATTCAATGGACTTTTTATGTACTCATCAGAACGTGAAGTGTTATTCTCACTGAAGTGTCTGGTTTTCATATAGTTGCGTCATAGCTCTGCATGGATACATATATATATATATATATATATATATATATATATATATATATATATCAGAACATTCCAAAATTATTTCTTTCTTGCAGCACTTTGTTACAGTGGAATAGCTAGTTGCTTTGTAATTAAAATTGTATTAATGGTTAGCAATTCAAAATCGTCAGGTAAGGAGGGGAGATTCTCCCCCCCCCCTTTGAGTTCATGTTTTTTCAAACTATGAAGCATTACTTTTTCCTGCAGATTATCCTGAAGGCATAAAAACATAGACATGTTGCAATAGAGAGCTTCTACTTTTCAAATAATGTAACCTTGGGTTGAAGTAGCTTCGAGATGAATATTTTCGGGTTGCGCTCCATGGCGACCCGGAAGTAATGGAGCGCGTTTCGCCGCATGCACAGATGTTCAAAATGACGCCATGCATGGAAGCAGCAAAATGCGATCCGCAGTCGCGTGTTATGTTCACTTCAGGATGTGAACGGGGCTCCGGAATGGATCCTGTTCGCATTCAGGTGTACCACTGTATCTTTTTTAAAAACTTCGCTGCTTATGATCTGAGTGACATAAGGACCTGCCTGTGAGAAATTGGAAAGTCAGGAACCAACCAATGCCTTTTCCTTCTTCCCTCCTGGGCCTGTAGTTGCATGTCTTTTATCCTAACCAAATTACCCTGCTTCCTCCAAAGAACTTGGGGCAGTACACATAGGGTGGGTTATTGCATGTTATAACAGTATCCCTCTCTGGTAAGCTGGGCAGAAATGTAACAGCTTTCGCAAGGCTGTCCCATTAAGTGGAACTTTGAATCTGGCTTATCTGTTGTTCAAATCACAGCATTCGCCACACTGTCTGTCTTGCATTATTACACCATACAAAATACTATATTGTTCTCTCAGATCTTTTTGACATGTTTCCATATTACCTGCTGCACTGTCTAATAATATCTTTAAACGTTTTTTAGCAGGAACAGAAAAAAATGATAGTGCTGATAAAGTTGCCGAGAAACTAGAAGAACTTTCTGTAAAGGAGGAGATCAAAGAATCGGAGAAAGAAGTCAAGGAGAAAACTGAAGAAAAGCAATAAATCATCTTGGGCCTTGTGTTTTATTTTTTTCTTAATTTTTTAATTTTTACAAGGGACTTTATAAAGAACTGTATTACAACATTCACTTTTTTTCCTAACTTTTTGCCCTTTTTGAAGAGATCTTCAGAAAAAATCCATTCCCCAGTCATGAAAATGTACTGTGCTAAACTTTCTTTTCCATAGTGGAAACACTTATTTATAGTCATCCAAGAGAGTGAATAAAAGTTTGAAAATGGTGTCAAAGGACAGAACTGAATTTTCTGTATGCTTCAGATGTGTGGCTGCAATTATTACCTTGGGTTATATTTTTCAGTGCATAACTTTAGATGAGATGTAGTATAACTGAATTATACCAGTAGAAAAAGTGCAGGTAATAAAGATGTTTCTCATATACTGTGACTGAAAGCTGTTAATGAATGAAACAAGATACTCTATATTTTCCTTGTAAGTGGGGTTTGAGTGAACGTACGTGTTTCGTGAAACTTTGTTACGGAAAATGGCGTACCCGTTAGAATATAATGTCATAATCCTCCAATGGATTTCAGCATACTTATGGTTTCTAATCGTCCTTTGTAGTTGACCGAGCATGGCAGAACATACGTTCTGAATTTGCCATGGCTGAAAGTGATGCTGGTTGGCAACAATGAAGCTTAAGACCTTACTATATTTCAAATATTTCTCCACGCAGAACAAGAATGTGCTGTCTGGAAAGCTTTATGATTGCTCGCAGTTTGCGGAATAGATGGGACACGAAGCCCAGTTCACTATGATCTCTTTAAATCTTCAGTTTAGCTATCCATTTAACACAAGTATTAAGATTAATGTATTACATATCCTGTTATTTGTTGCTGTCTTAATGATAGCATACCCTAGTGCTTTTTGCAGGTGGGGGAATTGACTTAATCTTAATGGGGCTTCAGGCTGTGGGAAAGTTGAATATCTCTTAGCATCCTTGGGGGGGAAAGCATCAACATTTAAGGACTCCGCATCACTCATAGGGATAGAACCTCGGGCAGATTTAATGTTAAACTTCAATGCCATGTACCTAAACTAAAATGTTCTACCGCTTGTTCTGCCACTGATAATAAAAATTGGTTATCTTGCAGGATTTGCTGCAAGGATAGTCTTATGTGGAAGCTTACCGTATTTCCACACGGAAGTCCTTTTCGATCTCTACGTAAGGAACAGCCAAGGGTGTTTGCGACTGACTGCATTTGGCACACAAGTTTACACTTCTTCCGCAAAATAGGCAATGATTGCTGACAATGCCAATGATATTCCTGTATCCCAGTCTTTGTTGCACAAGTGTGTGTGTCTGGATTGGGGTTTGTCTCAGTCCAAGTCCATTTTTTATACATTTATACTGTCCCACTTCTGTTAACTGTGTGGGTCTCCTCAAAACACATAGATTGTCTAACGTACTTGAGAGGTGAGAATAACTGATGCAGTCTTTAAAGGTCTGAGCCTCCCATGTACACATCGACTGTATATTGAGTGTGCATGTGTGTAGATGTGAAACGTTGCTTTTCCTATTCGTAATGGTATGCACAACACTTTGAATGCAAGCCTTTTCACGTGAAACTGGGTGGTGAAAGCTTTCACTGAATATAATGGATTTAGAATGCGTCCTCTTGTCTTTACCTAGAATTATAAATATTTCCTTGATTTTCTGTTTCCAACAATTGTTTTGGATTTCAATTCTATGATTATTCCCCCCCCCCCCGTTCTTTGTGCATACTGTAAGCTGCGTAGCATTTTGCCCTTGTCATGTTTGATTCTTATGGCTGAGTCTGTCAAGACTGCTAGAATTTCTTCGGACTTTTCTATGTGGGGTGGGAATAAGACCTGCAGAAATACCTCAACAAATCCCTTATTAAGGACTCTTGCCAGTATATATGATAGTAATGCATTTGAAGGTTAAAAGGGCATTGTCTATTGCTCTTCAGATCCTCCCATCTGTAAAAGTCACCATAAGTGGATTCTGATTTTATCTTGTCAAAGGGAGAAATTTTGCTCACCAAACTAACTTCAAAATAAATTTAACTGTAATCATCATTCTTGCTTTTTTTTAGTTCTTATAATAACATCAGATATACATTGATGTTACAGAAGCAGAAAATGGCAACAAGCCATATCATGTGACCTTTTCAATGCTAAGAGTGCCTCTTTGCTGCAACCATACCTTTCTTCAAATATGTTGTCTCGTGACACATTTGTATACTTCTTCACATCCTCTGACTTGTACCTGTGATTGTTTACAACTGTTTAAAACATTCAGGTGACATGATTTTTATATGGTACATTTGCTGACCATAAAACATGTTGAGGTTGGAGCGCCTTTTGGATGTTAAAATGTATTTCACATTTTTGTTTTTTTATAGCAGAGAGGAAGGAAGGTGTGCTTGTGTGTGTTAGTGTGTTAACTTACTACGCAGAAGAAAGAGTTTTGTGAGCCTCCAGTGTAAAATCTGGAGGTTTCCAATGTTGAACCAAGACTGGATTTTTTTGGGGGGGGTTTACATTGTCTGTTCATACTCACGTGTTATGCTTTTATGGAAGAGAATGTTTCAAAAATGAACCGAAGCCATACAGCAGAACTTTATAAACAATATTTCAACTTCTCTATACATAATAAATATACTAAAGTGAGGTGTTATAGTTCAATTCTCTCTTTTTAAAATTGGGAGGTGAATTGGAGCCTGGTTGCTGCCATTTTAAGCTATGAACTCTTTCTAGGTTGAATTGTGTTATTCACAAACTTTGTGTGTAAAAGGATATCTTTATAGAGGTGCTATGTGAACTTCTGGGAAGCATATGTTGATAGCAAGGCTCCTAACACTAATTTATACTGCCTTGGGAAATGTCTGCAGAACTGCCTAATTCCATGAACAAAAGTCTGAATGGGAATATTACTATTTTTTAAAAGGTTACTCTGCAATTTAACATATATAAACAAACAAATGCATTAAAACTGACATAAAAGAAAAAGAAATCTATGTCCCTTTAAGAAAAAAAAAAGGTGGGATCAACACATTCCCCCCCCGCTTTTGAGTCCAGAATACAGTGGTGCCTTGGTTTACGAACTTGATCCGTTCCGGAAGTCCATTCTTAAACCAAGGTGTGCTTTCCCATAGCAGCGGGGCACTCAATTTACACTCAACAGGAAGCGGAACATGTTCTGCTTCCAAGGCAAAGTTCACAAAGCAAAACACCTACTTTCAGGTTTGCAGCATTCTTAATCCAAGTTGTTCATAAACTAAGCTGTTCTTAAACCAAGGTACCACTGTAGCTAAAGCATTTGCAAAATAAAAAATTTGCCTGGCACCTAAAGCTATGTCATCAGGGGAGAGCTTTCCACAAGCGGGGAGCCACCCCTGAAAATGAGTGTTCTCGTGTTGCCACCTTCTGGGCCCCCCCAAGGAGGGAACACACAGAAGGGCCTTGGGTCTGGGTCAGTTCAACTAAGGAGAGGTGATCCGTGAGATATTGGGGCCCTGAGACACATAAGGTTTTAAAGGTGAAAACCATCACATTGAATTTGGCCAGGAAACTAAATGGCCAGTGCAGTTGGGCCAGGGCTTGTGTTACGTGACTTGAGTGCTTTGAATAGTACTGACTTAAGAAGAAAAAACCTAAATGGCACCAGGGAAATAAAATGTTTCAAGAACATTGATTCATAATTAAATAAGCATTGAGGGCTGCAGCAGTAATTAAGCTGTAAATGCTCTCTCTTTATGCTGCAGAAAGTGGGCCTTGCCCAACACTCATTTTGTGCAGGTGAGATAATTACTTTGAAACTTTAATTATCAGATGTGAATTGCCTGGCCTTTTAGAAAACAAGGACACATTCATCCTTAAAGATTGGGATAATTAAACGGAATATTTTAAAATGTCATTTTTCAATTTTGCAACAATAATACAAATTCAATAAAACCAACCCATTGAGTCAACCCCCCCCCATGGTTTCTTATGTTTAATATTTGCTACTGCATATTCTAATTATTCCCTTTTCTTCCCCCTTTAAAATTCCCCATTCCTTTGTCTCTTAACTGCTTGTTCTATTTTAATCGTGGTAAAGTTTAAAGTTACTTACAATAGTTTTTCAAATAGTCCGCACGTTTTCCCTTTCCTTTCTTAAATGTAATACCTTTTGAAGAGTTTTCTGCAGCTTTTGGGGGGCTGAAAAATACCCTTTGGGTCAAGGGATGAGAAGCCTGTGACTTTCTGGGTGCTGCTGGCACCTCTCATCCACTTTAGCCAGTGTGACCAAGGGTCAGAGATCTTGGGAGTTGCGACTCAGCAACAAAATCTGGAAGGCAACAGCTTCCCTTTCCTTCCTTTGGTCATGCAAAAGTGTTCAGGGATCAATGTGACTTGGCAGTGGAAAGGGTCTATAAGTTTGCTTCCCAGTACCTGCTTTGCAAGAGAGTGTCCCTGAGTCAGTCGTTGGCATCCTCTCATCTTTTTTAAAAAATGTAGCAAGTGATGGGAAACTGATGAGGGCCCCAACATCTAGAATCATTGAACTATCGAGTCAAAACAGACACTGTCATGTGATAGACAACAATCCCATGACTACAATCACGGAGCAGGAATTCTAACATCCTCCCCTGATTCATGATCTGTGTTGCAGTCATCAGTGTAACTGCAACAACCATACAGATGTCATACACACAGTATACCCCTGTATCACCCGTTCCACCCTTGGAACTACCTGCAACTGGATTGGCCTTAGGCCTTACCATCTTGCACTTCTGACTAGTCTTGGAGTCATAACCCTTCTAACTATCTGGAAGTCTCACACCTGGCTTTGTTGGGACTCGAACCCTAGCCCTGTTCCTCTTTGAGGAATCAGTGTTGGGGCACACAGCCTTTGGACGTGGTCCAGCTTCCTTCTCCAAGGAAACAGTGTCTACCCTTACAGCCTTTGGGCGTGGTTTCCCACAGGTACAAACCCTGTACCCCTTTCAAGACTCTGGGTTCCAAGACCTGTGTCGAGCCACTAACCACAGCTAAATCTGCAACAGCTGTGTTAGCAAACTCCTGAGCATACCTGATGGGCATTTCACCCTTTGTAGCTCCTCCTGATCTGCGCACCTGGCGCAACTCCACTGTATCAGTGGAACACACCTCAGTACAGTTGCTGTTTATAACAGCAACAGATTTAGTATCTAAGACTTCAGCAATGGGGTAGCCTAGGAAAATACCCTGATTTTCCTCCCATTCTGCATCGCCTAGTGAGTAAAATATCGGTATTAGGCCTTAGGGATGCAGGTGGCGCTGTGGGTTAAACCACAGAGCCTAGGACTTGCCGATCAGAAGGTCAGTGGTTCGAATCCCCGTGACGGGGTGAGCTCCCGTTGCTCGGTCCCTGCTCCTGCCAACCTAGCAGTTCAAAAGCATGTCAAAGTGCAAGTAGATAAATAGGGACCACTCCGGCGAGAAGGTAAACGGTTTCCATGCACTGCTCTGGTTTGCCAGAAGCGGCTTAGTCCTGCTGGCCACATGACCCAGAAGCTGTACGCTGGCTCCCTCGGCCAATAAAGCGAGATGAGCGCCGCAACCCCAGAGTCGGCCCCGACTGGACCTAATGGTCAGGGGTCCCTTTACCTTTATTAGGCCTTAGTACTCCGTACAAGCCTTGCCCCAGGAAGAATCTATGCTCCCTGCCTTGTGATGTCTCAGCCCACATGCCAGACCCATCCATTGGCATCCTGGCTTTTTCCAGGTTTATCTTGTCACTGTTCTCATCAGAAACTCTGTCTGAACCCAGGGAAAAGCCTTGCAAACTATGTTTGCTGAGCGTATCACTCTGTGACTTTGGAACCCACATGTCAGATCCAATCATTGGCATCTTGGCTTTTTCTGGGTTCACCTTGTCTCTGTCATCATCACTAATAGGGTGCCTTTGCATGATACCCATACTGCCTCCCCCCTTTTGCTTTGTCCTGAGCACTGGTACACCTAACCATCTTCATGTCAGACATCAGCAATCTGGAAGACCCATGCACACATCCTGCATGGAAAGACTGGTTATCAGACATAACATCACTTGTCTCTCCAACCTTCCCACCATCCCCTATGTTAACATCACAACATAGTAAGAACAAGCCATTTATAATGTCGCTTTCGTGCCTCTGGATGGTCCCACTCTGTTTGTTGCCATAAACAGAACAGCCACGCTGCATCCGCTGGGCTTCTTGACCTGGAATGAAAAACACATTAGGCATCACAACGTTACAGCCTTTCAGGTCCACAGTGCAGGTGCTATGCACATCCAAAGAATCTCCACTCGACTGGTGGATCGGATCCATCTTCCACAAAGGTGCGCCTCCGCCTTTATAGCAGCTATAAAAAAAAGCACAGGCTAGATAGATGATGGGTTAGACTCATAGACCCATTTAAATTAATTGATCAAAGTTGTCATATCTGCCACCAGGTATCACATTTGCAGTGTGCTCAGCTGCCCTGTAAGCAAAGTAAAAATTAAAAAGGAAGGGGGACTGTACTCTGTTCACTAGCTCAAATTTCAATGGCACCCTGGACACCACTAAATGTTGGCACCCCCAGCCTTTCTTGCTACAATGTTGTGGTGCCCCCTTCTGGGCTATCCTAAAACCACCTCTGGTAGGATAAGTACGGTATATCACTAAATGGCTCTTACTTTAGCATTACTTTGGATAGTAACACCCAAAAAGGTGGGGTTTTTTTTGAAGTAGGAGAATGGGATAGAAGTTCCAGGGCACAGCTCCAAAGCCCCAGGGCTTAGATTTCCTGGATCAGTCCCTAACAACACCCTTGGCTGGCGCTGGGAAGAGATCCACAAACATTGGTGTGTGCTGTCATATGTTTGTTTTTTCCAGTTATACAGGAGATAAGAAGCTCAGTCTGGAAGCAGTATCCTAAGAGTGTACAGCCAGTGGAGGCTAATCCCTTAGGGCAAATCTGGAGCTGCCCCACCAACCTCAGTCTCCCCTTTGGTAGCACCTGCCTCCCTGCCTGCCTTCTAACTTAAAACCAACCTAGGGGGAGGAACTGGCAGTCAATTTCCTCCA